TCCTCAAAATATCTTAAGATTCTATTTAGGATTTTTAAAAAGAGGGTGAGAAAGACCCAAAAATAAAGAATACTTTTTGGTGGATATATTTCTAAAACATTCATATATTAAAACCGGTGAGGTCAAAATGATGTTTAAAGGGGAACACCAGAAAGCTTCACTGCAGCAGCTGTCATAAGTAGCCGTTACAAGCCTTTTGGCCTTTCTGAAAAACCTGAGTGCCTCTAACATCTGATGCAACACTGGACATCCACGATCATGTCTATTAGGTAAGAGCTTAAAGCCTTTCCTCACTAATCCACTCACATGCAGTGTAAGTGTTGAAATTGTGGTTTCACATGTTACTGATCTTTTCGGCTAAGGCGCTGGCCTGAATACTTTGGATGTACTTGGAAGACTAAGTGAAATTTGCATGAATTTAGAACTTGGAGAATTAAAAAAAAAAAGGAAAAAAATCCTTTGAAGTATCAAGATAAGCGATTAAGCGATGACACAGGCCTTGCATAATCCCTGCGAATGAGTTAAAGACAGAGAAGGGGAAAAAGGAGAGGAGATTTGGAGCTGAAGTAGGGAAGTAATAAAAACAAAAAGAGATAAACCCTGAGAGGTTGGGGGGGGGGCTCAGATATTGTTTATCACTCATTCTGTTCATCGGTGTGCTGCTACAGTGCTCAAAGCAGTTGTTAGCATTTAAGAAATAGGCATAAAGTGACCATTGCTTTCTGCCGCAACTGCAGGACAAAAACATCTGGAGGTGATGAGAGTGAAACAAAGAGTAGAGTGTTCAGTGGTGTACAAGTTGGCTCCACACACCGACGCTTCAAACTATTTAACTGTGACAACATTCAAGAAAAAATGAAAATATCTAATATAATCAGAGTATGAAGTAAAAGCTGAGCTTGTACCAGTGAGATGTTTTTAAAAAACGCTTAATCATTCTTGCAGTCTACATCAATGACTGCAAGACTTATTTAGGTAAAGAATGAGACAACTTTCAGCTATAAGCAGAAAAAGCTGCTAAACAAGACCAAGAGCCTACAGTCACGCTGGCAGCTTTGAGAGTTTGCACTTTTCAACAAGTTTTAGTGCTTATATTCACCAACTTATTTCGCTAGCGGGAGAATTCTGGCTTTAGGCATCTCTGACAGAATGCTGTCTTTTCTTCAGTTTTTAGTCACAGGTTGATTTGATTTCAGAAAAAGTCTTTATTTTGGTTTTACAAAGTCCCTTGTCAGTAACAGTAACCATGCCCTGTTGAGTCCGTCTGGCTTCAAGATTTAAATGAAAAATTGTTACATGTACAAATATAATTGTATCATCTTCAGACATTTAGTCACAAACTAAGGCATCAGGATGTGACATTTTTAACTAATAACTTACAAAGTTTAAGGTTTTATAGAATCACAGGCCATTTCTTTAGGTACATCTTCCTATTAGGCGCCTCTGTCAGTGCACCTCAGGGTGGCTGTGGCTACAATGTAGCTTGCCATCACCAGTGTGTGAATGTGTGTGTGAATGGGTGGATGACTGGATGTGTAAAGCGCTTTGGGGTCCTTAGGGACTAGAAAGGCGCTATACAAATACAGGCCATTTACCATTATTTTTTCCCCCTAGATATTTTTATTAAATTTTCTGCATCCACTTTTACAAAAGACAAATTGAACAATATGCCGTTTTCTTTTTGAAGAACATAAGACAATATGGAACATACACTCCCACCTCATAAGTATAAGAGTACCAGTGGGTGTACACACAAAAAAAAAAGATCCAATCTAATAATACAAATAGTAAACCCTGGAGTACAAGATAGCAGTTCCTGAGTATACAAGAGAGATGTGCAGAGTTTCAGAACCCACACCCCTACACAGACTACATCTTCCTATTATTGGGTTGGGCTCCTTTTTGCCTTTATATCTGCCTCAATTCTTTAAGGCACAGATTAAACAAGGTGCTGGGAACATTTCTTGGGATTTGGATCCATACTGGCGCGATAACATAATGCCGATTTGTCAGGTAAATATCCATGATCCGAATCTACCCGATTCACCACATCCCAAAGGTGCTCTGTTGGATTGAGATCTGGTTATTGTCGAGACCATTTGAGTACAGCGAACTTACCATCTACACAAAGCTACTTTGAAATGATTTGAGCTTTGTGCTTAAAGCAGCCATCAGAAGATAGGCACACTGTGTCTGTAAAAGAATGGGCATGGTCAGCAGCATTACTCGCATAGGCTGAAGCACTTAAATAATGATGAACTGGTACTAATGTTTCATGTTGTTTACACCAAATTCTGAACTGACCATCTGAATGTTCCAGCAGAAAGCAGTCTGGGCATTCTTTTCTGATCTCTGGCATCAGTAAGGCAGTTTTATGCAATGTTGTTGGTTTTTGGATGTTTCCTCTTTTTAAAACCAGTCTGTAAACCCTGCAGATTGCTACTCTGTCATTTTCACACACACAACTTCTAAAGTAGTCAGACCTGTGGCACCAATCATTTCAAGTCACATTCAAAGTGACTTTAATCACTTTTCTTCAACCTTTCTGATGCAGTTTGAACTTAGGCACACTACCCTTGACCATGTCTACATGCCTAAAATGCATTTTTATAAAAAGAAAATATCCAATAGTTATTATGAGATTTCACTTGAATTGATTTATCTTGAAATCCTAAATGTCTGTAAAAAATTTGGCACTGATCTATGGATGAAAACGTTTATGTCACTGCTGGCACAGGAGAAAATACCAAGGAATCACCACAGAGATTGGAATGGATTGAATCCCTTCAAAGTACTATCGATATCTGTGCCCTACTTCACGGCTGTTCATTGGATAGCTGTCAAGATATTTTAGTGTGGAACAAAATGTCAGACTAACACACCAACATTGCGAACTGTTGATGACAGCCGTTACAGACAGATCCCCTTTAACATAACATAATGAATATGGTCCAAGTGGTCTGTTTTTGATTGTTTCTCTGTTAAATACTGAAATATTTCACAATAGCATAGTTAAGGAATAAATCCATTGTGCACCACAAAGTCAGCAAGCATGCAGAAGGCAGGAGAAATAGGAAGTGAGGTCTCTGTTGTCTGTTAGTGGATTATTGGATTATCTGCAGAAACACGATTACCCATTAGGGCATATTGTGCATTCTCCTTCAGTAGAGATGCTGCTCACAAAAGCCTTGGTTAACCCTAACCTTGCAAAACAGGGACTCAAAACAGGCTAGCTGCTAAAATATGCACAACTTGGGCCACTTTAGTGACCGAAATCAGCAGCATTTACTGTAGAAATAGCACTCTGTTCATAGATATGCCTAAAGACTCGAACGAGCACACACCGAGGCTCATGCAGCAATGATGAATATGTGCTCAGGAGCTGCTAATCATCACTGAATGGGGGGTTGGGCTGGGAGACAACAGAGAATGAGGGTGGGGCTGGGGGAGGGATGGGTGGGTGTTTGGTTTGGACTAAACTATTTTTATCCGGATTCCATGAAGACAGCTGCCAACCTCCCGAGTGTGAGACTCTCCTGCCCTCCTTATCCCCAGGAACAATGACATTAGACACCACCTCTGAGTATTTCGGCTAGGCATGTGGTAAAATAATAATAATTACAATAAAGGCTCCTCTTTTAATGCTTTCATTGAGGCCAGTTGTGGAGTGGGTGCTGAAAATCTCATAAGCTCATCCGGTTTAGCTGAAAGCATTACAGACTTCAGGCTCTGCAACAGCCCGTGTGCTGCTGTAATCTGCCATCGTGTCCAACTATCAATCTTTACCTGAGATGTCAAAGAGGCTTCGGTGCGATCATGTGTGTAATGCTGATAATCGAATTCTTCTTCAAAATAAAATTGTAATTGCTGAATATTTTCTTTGGATCTTCATTGTTCAATTGTTCATTAACCAATTACTTGCATATAAAATCCATTTATAGCTACTTATTCTTCACTTGTGGATGCCAAAGCCATCAAAGGCTCCAGCCTGCTCTTTTTATCTATTGAGGACAGAATATGGGCTTTTCTTTTTTAGCAGGTGTCTATTACAGGCCACATGCCATGACCCTGACATTCCCATGCCACTTCAGGCCCACCAGGACTTCTGCCATCCGTTTGCAGAGAGATGCAAGATAAGGGCTGACAGAGTGACAGTGACATCCTCCACAGCCATAAGCTAACAATGTTACTCTGCTTCCTGGGGCCACATGCCACAAACATCAGGGCTCTGATACCTCCCTCAACATTTGCACACAGCCACCTTCAGCTCCTGTATGTGGAATCCTTCCAGAAGCAAAGAAGAAAATAAGGTACATATCATGGTTCACTAATTAATGTTGTTCTTCATGCCACCCACTCGTGTTAAAGTGTAGCTTTATGTTTGTGTACGTCAATGAACGTCACTGAGCAGAGAGACCGATGTTCAGATGATGCCTGTTTTTATACTTATGGCATGAGAGTGGAAAGTTCCTCTCAGCTATAATCATATTACAATTTGTAGACAAGTAATGGGCCACCTGTACATTACTCCTACAGAAGATGCTCATCCATGGAAACGCATGCCATTAAGCTATTGGTGCAGTTTTTGTGCCGATGTTAATGTCAGAAGATTGAGTCAGCAAAGCGCTGCAACTTTTAGATATTCTGTGACTCCAATCAGTAAGTTTATGTAGTCTGCCACTTCATGGTTGGGTTCTGTAGCTCCTTAACGATTCTACTTTGTAACAATAGTACTTGAAGTCGAATATCGCGGAATATCAAGGAGGGCCTAAAATAAAGGAATCCTATTACAGCACCACACTCTTAAGAGCCACACATTCTTTCACAAATCCTTGTAAAAGGCAGGCTGCATGGACCGGTGCTCGATTTTACACACCTTTAGCAATGGCACTGAAACCACCTTACATCAAAGATTTCTATCCAGGCAGCTACAGTTATTTTCATGGGAAAACAGAGCAAGACAAATTATTACCAGTGCTCACATTAAGCGTAGACAAAAAAAAACTTGAAATATTTGGTTTATTCTTAGTTTTCCATGTAAAAATACACATCCGAGGGATGGATTTAGTGGGGGGGAAAACAAAACAAAAAACAATTTTTTTTAAACGTCTTATTTCAACAAGTCAAAATTTAAAATCAGTTTTTGCTATTAAATACACACCTCCAAGTTTTGCATTTTTCACACATACCTAATCTGTCAAAGTCTGCATTGGCAGCAACGTAAAAGTAGACTGGATGTTGTTTTAACAGCTTTACAAAGTTAAAGAGTGAAAGTAAAGCTCAGGGTTTTTTTTAAGTCATGTTTTCAAAGTGCAAAAATTGTACTTGTAAGGCAACAACCCTTGATGTGTGTATATTGTGACAATGAAGACAACCATACACTCTTTACTTGTAAACATGTCAAAACTTGATTCAACTGTGTCCAAGAAAATATTAAGATCACAAAAAGTTATAACATGTGTCTGCTCTATGAGCAGCCAACCCAAACACAATGCAGCCTTGCGCTTCTCCCAATGTATGGCCCAGAGAGCTTTAAGTGAAGAAGAAGAAATGTCGCAGTGGCATCTACAGTAGCTCAAGGTGGTTTAAAAGACAAAAACTAGCTTCTCCAACTGGAAAATGTTTGAGAATTTGATCTGTAAAAAGAGATCAGAGAGAGAGAGGGAGAGACATTACTGAGAAAGAGTTTTGAATGTTTAAAAAGTCAGCAGCAGGACTATTAAAATGACCTCTAACGAGCAAATCAAAACACAGACACCATGACATCTTGTCCACCCACGCACCCACCCAGTGTTCTTATAGATTTGACATCATGTCGTCCTAATTGCTTTCCGCAGCATTTTTCCAGGCAGGTTGTGAAATAAATCAAATGAAAAAACGCGTTGAATTCAGTGAAAGTGTCTGATTTTGTACTCCTGCATTTGCCTTTTGTCTTGGCAGCAATGACAAGTGCACATGATGAATGGTTTTTACATTGGAGAGAGCTGCTGTTAAGAGCCATATTTTATTGTAGGATTATGATTTATTGTTAGCAATGATTACACTTTTCAAAACTGGTTTTAGAGTTGTCAATGGAGATGTTTAGTTTTTCACAGCACAGGGTAATAAAAACACTGGAATGTTTCTGTTCGTTCTTTTTAAGGTTTAAACACAAATCCAAGGTTCCTACAAATAATTTCTTGATAATCATGAATGGATTTCATTTTAATTCAGTCTTTTTCCCCAGTGTCATTGTAGTAGAGGGTTTTTTGTTAATATTATTAAATCAAAAATTATAACGCTTGTAGATTTGAGAAATAAAAGTAAAGGCAATTTTGACTTGGCAACAATCCTGTCTGTACAAAGAATGTAATATGCATACAGTTTTGAAGGCAGACACAAGAGAAAAGCAGAAAAGACTGAAAGAGAAGGATTATTAACAGAATGTGAATGTGTCCAATAGACTAAGCCTTGTCTTCACACACTCCTGCACACTTCAGAGTGCATTCCACTGGAACACACCCCGGGGAAACACTGGCTGCCATGTGACACATGGAAAATGAAGCGAGAAGCAGTATAAAAAGGTAGAAAGTGAAATTGAAGGATGACAGGAAAGAAGAGGAGATAGAGAAGAGGAGGTGAAGGAAAAAATAATCACTTTAATTAGTTTTAGGTTTAATTAGTAAGAAAGCTCTGCTTGAACATTTAAACCATGCACAGCCAAGTAAGGAGCACCAGCTTCACAGGGGCTGAGAATGAAAAGCCACACCCACACACCCTTCATGTGCTATAGATTTAGCAAGTGCAGCATTGGGTAGTTTTTAGAATATCTTCTAAATATGACTAAAAACAATATTTCCCTATAATAATTGCTTTCAAAATTTACTGTAAGACAATGCAGTGAAATAATGGTGAATATGAGCGATTATGAGGAACAGAGGAAAGAAAGAAGATGGAAAAGAGGAAAGAAATGAGGTTAGATGAGGTGGTATTAAACCTGAAAGGTTCTATAGGGAGCACTGCGGTGCAAGATGGAAGCTTCAGCAGAGTTCAAATACCACAGGCACAATGCAGTGCTGCCAGCGAGGAACAGAGAAATGTGGGTCTGTCTACTTATCAGATCACATTAACACACACAAGAAAAAAAACCACACAAAAAGACTAATTAAAACTAGATGGATGGACCACACTTACTGGTTTGCAGACCCAAAGGTGTTTCCAGAGAATCCTAAAAATATAAAAAATAAATACATGATTAATTTGGTAATTGTTACTGCAAGTGGGAAAAAAAGACTAATGGAAGTCTCACTTCACAGCGTGAGTCACATGATCTGTGTGCCTATGTGTTGGAAGTGGGTTAGTGGACAGTCCTATGTACAGTATGCATATTGTGTATAGTGTGCATCCACAATACCATTAAAACTTCAGAAAAAAAATAAAGCAGAGGACTGAAACAAAGGAGAGAAATATCAAAGAAATGAGTGCATGGAAAAATAATTTGGATCTTGCATGCATGAAAACTCAGAGGGATGCACACCAGTCATCTCGGCAAAGAAACCTGTAACAGCTGTAATGCAGTGAAAGTTTATAGATGTGCAGGACAGGCAAATTCACCATACAGTGTGTTACAGTGAACCCCTTTCTGTCTCATTAGCCCATGAAACATAAAATGTATTCATCCATCCTTTGTCATCCTTTGTCTTTATCATGTTTGAGAGGGAAGTACTCCTTGGATATGTTTCGCACAAACTTGCATTGTGTTGCCAAATGAGGAAATTGACCACTTTAAAATCTTCATGTGATGCACAATCTACCCTAAAAGTGTAATTAACACAACAAAACACTTGTTTGGTCGCAATACTCAGGAAATTTCTATTGCACAACAATAAAGCCACCTTCCTTTTTCAAGTTTGAAAGACAGTTAAAGTAAAGAAACTTGTGATAAACACTGTACAATGGCTAAAATTGTACAGTTGCTGGAAGAATGGCGCTGTTGAGTGACTCACTGTAGGGAATAAACTAGAGTGATAGCAGGCAAGATGGCAGCTGAAGATGATGAGGAAGGGGGAAAAAATAAAAACAAAAATAATTCAGGTAAAGTAGTAGTCTCACCTCCTGGCTGTGGCTGTTGTCCAAAACCTGAAAAGCTGCTGGGCTGACTTCCAAACCCAGGTCCCTGCTGGGCCAGGCTCCCGAATGATGGAGCGCTCTGACCGGCTAGCGCACCAAAGGACGGAGTGCTAGGAGGTGGGGCAAACCTGAAAACCGGAGCAGGTGCTGAGGTTGTGATACTGTAAAACGCAAAAGTTACAACTGAAAAAAAGACAGCCACACCTGAATGGGGCTGGTAAGACAAAATGCTTGACAATATTAGGTTACTGGTCTGACAGTCATAAATTCATAATTAAACACACATACATGTGGGCAAATAGTTTGTCCAAGATGTTTTTATTGGTTAGTTAAACATGTAAACAAAGCAGAACATTCAAGATAGTGAATGTGAATTTGTTTAGCTTTATTTTTTTATTTTTTTACTTGTTTGGCATGTGAGGATTGACAGGCTGGGATTTATACATTAATCCTTTCTACAGGACCCAACGCCCGCTCACTCCCAAGGGAGAGAAAAAAAGAATAAGCAAAACAGTGAAAGAGAGAGAGAGGAGCATGTCAGTTTAATCTGCAGGCTTCATGACCCCAGATTGAGATTATCTGGAGGGAATAATCTAGTCTGGCACAGAGCTGGGTTTGTTTTGTGCTGGCAACCATGGTTGCTGGTATCAAAACACATGCACATGTGAACACACCAGAGGTTAATGCAAATCATTAGAGTATAAATGATAAGGAGGAGGGGAGGATTAAAAAACATAATAATCAGGAAATCCTGCCTGAAGTCAGAACTGCTGGAATTAGATTAGATAGAAATGTGTGTGTTTAAAAGTAATAAAATTAAGCCTCACTTCCCAAATTTGCCTCATATAACTCTATAGACCAATAAAAATGTTTTGTTTCTCTACACTTAAATGTTAATGGGGTTTTTAATAGTGTTGTTAAATGCTGCTTTCAGCTGGTTTGTCTTGTAGTGCTGAGCACACTGAAAGGCGCCTATTATGACAATAATAGCCTGATGACAATGACATTTTCAAATACTCATTGTCTGCAACAGTGGGTTGAGAAAAAAAACAGTTCTCTGTTACACTACTTTGTCAATGAAAGGTTGTTCTACTGAAAATATTTTCCGCTTTAAACCTTGAATATCAGAGCAGGCAAAGAAAATAGATTACAGACAAACTAGATGCAGATAGAAGTTCTATAAACAAAGTTCAGCTAAAGGTTCAGCCACCCTGAATCAAAGTGGCTGAACCTTTAGGTTGCTCTAAAGTCAGCTTTAATTACACAACGATGGATTTTTTTTCCATATCAAACCTTTCAAAAAAGACTTCGTCTTGCTTACCCAAATCCTCCCATGTTGGCAGCCGCGGTGCCCTCTCCGAACACTTTGCCAGCCGATGATCCAATAGGACTGCTGAATGAAGGGCTTGAGCCAAAAGATGCTCCAGCACCAAATGCTGGGGAACCCCCAAAAGAAGGAGGACTCCCAAACACCGGAGCACTGCCAAAGCCACCTGTAGGAAGGAAATAGGATAACAGAGCAGGAAGTTACTTGGTTTCCAGCGTTCTTTCTACAAAGAAAATACAGAAGAAATGTGAGTCATGAAGCAATTTCTGTAACTTTTATAACATTATATGCTAAGTGGCTTATTTACATCAGGCATTACATCCATGTAGATGTTTTTTCCCTTTAACAAAGCTACTGCAAACACTAAAATTTAATCTAGAGTTCTTCTTGGACTCATATGAAGAAACATAAATTGAATTTAGTGCTGGCACTTCCAAAAAGGAAAATAAATTCCTAGGTAAAGACAGAAAAAGTATTTTAGCTATGTTTTAAATTTAAAAATTTTTTTTAAAAAAATTGCATATCCCCCTATTGTAACTCATCAGAAGCTACCTGAGTACACGTGTGGGCATTTACAGTATTGTTGTGCACAGCCTCTGGAGCAGTAAACTGTTATAAGCATGATGAGTACTTCACACCAATTCAAAGCCTCTGATTGGCAGGAGAGAAAGAGTGTACTGAAATTACAGCCTGGCTAGCAGCATGCCCCAGTAAATAATTGATTGAGCTAATGTAACAAGAATACATTCCCCCTGCATGGCCAGTGATGGAGAATTAGTGTGCTGAGGGTTACCAATATCCCAGAGGCTCTGAGGTACAGCTTGAATAGCTGCTACTACTATGACTACTCATGGCCACGAGCAGCAAAGTATCAGCATATCGGTTTTTAAATTTACATGATGTTTTCAGACAAACTACAATGTGATGTAGACAGGGTTTCTCCTGGTTTAAAACAGCCCTCTAAGGGCGAATTTAACTACGCCTGCACTGGTTTTTATCCATAGCGCCCCAGCTCTATTCAGAAGTGATTTACACAATAAAGACCACTTTTAAATGTATAATAATGAGTTCTCCAAGAATTGACTGAAAATAATCAGCGCATCATCTCGATAGATTAAGAAAAACATGGTGGGGTTCACCAATGTGTTGAACCATTTAAAATGTTTCTCAAAGTAAGAGTGCAAAGAATATGAGGAATTCAACTTTTACAGGAAATTACATTATATATCCAAGACATGTATGAGTTTAAGTTAGTTGGTGTTTCTAAATTTGAAAGTAGGTGTGAAAGTGAGCGTGAGTGGTTGTCTCTTTGTGTTAACACTGTAACAGATTCAGGCCCTCAGGCAGCGCAGCATGGAAAGCGCACATTTCTCGGGTGGAAATCAGGAACCCTTTGAATGCTGTGATCAGTCACCAATTGATCAGTCACCAAAAACCATATCTAAATGAGGGTCGAACGCAGTGCTGCCTGTTAGAGGCTGAGCTTAATTTAAGATGCATTGAGCAGAAGTGGAAAACTATCCCATGGTCATGGTTCTTGACTAAAATGCTTTAGAGGTTCATCCAGTGAGAACAAAACACAAGGATTAATAGATAAAATACGCTAAAATAAAAATAGAATAAAAATAGGAATGCACTGAGATGTCTTTACTCAACTCGAGCTAAAAGCCAGGAAGACCAGGTGAGTTTTGAGTAAAGACTTGAAGGTCTCTCCACTACAAACAGATCTGATGTTTTGGGGTTGGCAGTTCCACAAGACAGGGCCTAGAACCAAAATGGCCTTGTCTTGGGAACATCCAAAATCATCTGATTGGAAGACCTTAGTGCCCTAAGTGGAGCGTGGATACTTAAAAGCTCAGATAAATTTGGGGGGGGTGTGCAATAGCATCTTAAAATCAATTCAAAAAAAAAAAAAAAAAAAGGGACAGGGAGCCAATGAGGACAGGATAAAACTGGGGCAATGTGCTCTCACATTTTTGCCCCTGTAAGATGTCGACCAGCTGCATTTTGAACTAACTGTAAACTTCAGATAGCAGAGTGACCCAGGCCTGCAAAAAGGGAGGTACAATAGTTGGGGCAAATACAATTAAAAGCATGGATAACTCTCTCAAGGTAGATAGGGCTTGACTTTGGCCAACTGTCCGAGTTGATAAAACCCTGCTTTGACCACAGAGCTAATCTGTCCGTCGAATTTGAAACCACTGTCAAAAATAAGATCCAAATTCCTGGTAAAAGGTTAAAGGTTAAAACCCTAAAGTGCCAAAAGTGCGAGCGAGTTACTGAGCTGTTCGGGGCGACCAAAAGCAACATCCTCAGTCTTCTCCTCATTTAGAAATGGAAAGTTTTTAGGTAGCGTGAGCAGTTAAGATGTGGTTTAAATGACTCTTTGTTGTTTGCTTTGATTGAGAGACAGATTTGAAAAATAAAATTTGAATTTCTTTTTCAAAGTCCTACTCATCGTGTACCCAGGTTAAAGAGTATAAGAAACCATCTGACTTTTGAAATCAGCACTCTGCAAAGGCAATCATCCATGATGGTATAGGGATGGATTAGTTCATTTGTTATAGGAAAATTTTCACCCATAACAAATTTCTATTTATACAAAAAGCTTATTCACACGTGTTATTGCCTTTACTTAACAGACGTGATGTCACTGACACATCTTCTTCCTATGGGAGAGCAAAACCTCAGTGTCCAGACACTGGGAAAATGGTCTGTTTGTGAAGAGGCAGTTGTTAAAGAGTTATGAAAAGTTACTATATATAGTTGCTTTTGAGTGATCAAAAGGGATGTCAGATGCAGAAGCTGAGATTGGATACACTACCATGAAAAAAGAAGACACTGCAGTCATTTCATTATAAATAAATAGTTGTAGATTAAACGCATCATTTGTGTCGTAAATATGAATCGATTCAAATAAACATCAGATCTTTGAGGTCATACACTGTGACTTGGCAATGGAGAAGACTGGCACTGCATAATATTCTGTGGGGAACAATGGAGCTTTTGACAACCTCATAGTTTATTCTGTCCTCAGGGGTGAGGAGATAAGAGCTCAGATGATAAAGGTGAGAGCAATGTCAAGAACTGGCTGCCAAGTATTAAAACCGTTTCTACCGCAGTCATCTAACTATCACTGAACTATCACATCAATGAACCAGAGCCCTTAAGCCAGGGCCTGGAAAGAAATGCGAAAGAACTAATCACAGTTTCATGCTTACTCCCCCCGCCCAACGTTTGCAGCAGTAGAATCAGTAGCTCTCTTCTCTTGTCCACATAATCGTGCGGTTACACACGGCTTCAGTTGCATGGTTATATGTCAGTTTCCTTTGACACAGCCGACATACGGTGACTGACTTTCTACATCAAAGTTTCAGACATGCACTGGTTTGCACTTTTGTTATTGACATAGTTTCCAACCTAACTTGTTTACAAGTTCCCATCACAGAAAAAGATGGGCTACGGCTTTGAACAAACAGGTAACTGTTGTTTTACAAAATGAAATCATTATTGTTATGCATTATTTAGCTTAACAACTGGTATTTCTGGTGTGACTAACAAATGTAGAAACATTTAAATCATGATATACATAATGTAGACATATCCTTTTCTTTCAGCTGCTCCCTTTACGGATCATCTGCCTCCATCTTCTCACAATATCCCCAGCATCCACCTCTGTCACTTCAACCCTCTGCATGTCCTCCTTCACTACTTCCATTAATCTTCTCTGTGGTTTTCCTGGTTCCTGGATCTTTTCCTCCCATCTGGCAGCTGCCAATTCAACATCTTTTGTACATTATACCCACCATCCCTCTACTACACATGTTCAAAGCAACTCAGTTTTTCCTCTCTGACTTTGTCAACCACCGGCTCAACCTCACTTGTCCCTCTGATATACAAATGTCTAGTCCTGTCCCTCCTTGTCACTCCCAAGCAAAATCTTAGCATCTTCAGCTCTGCTACCTCCAGGTCTGCCTTCTGTCCTTTTGCCTGTGCCACCGTCTCCAAACCAGGGATCATAGAAGGTCCAACTACTGTCTTTTAAACCTTCCCTTTTACTCATGTACAAATACAGCCACCAGCAAGAGAGCACCAAATGATCTAGTTTAGAAAGACCACTGAATGATTTAGTCTATCCTTAATAAGTGGATAGATATTACTTGAACAGGGGAAAAAAAAAATACATGATGTCTTCATTGTTGTCTCTCTGTTGCCTACTGTGTGTGTCTGACAGAAAGGATCCTTCTATTGTCGATGTTTGTACTTTTACAAGAACTCCTAAATATGTCTTAAAGTTTGCACATATGTTTTTTAGCTGCAAATCCAAAATGAAATATTGACAGTTTTTAAACTCTGCTTTCAAGCCTTGTGTTCATGTCTATAATATCTATTTAAATTAACATAACTAAAAAATTCTCAGTTTTCACCAAAAATACGCTCTTTCCAAAGCAATGGGGAACAGCACATAGAAACAAGTCTTGTTTTAAAATCTCAGCAGCAATAAATCTTATAAAACGTTACCTGTGAATTACAACTAGCTATGCACAACTTTCAAAACGTGTGAAAATATATCAAGACTAAAAAGCAGGGAGTGAAGAACAAATGCATTAAAATTACAAGGAAAGCTGTACCTGGTTTTGATGGTGTAGAGAATGAGCCAAAGCCCTGGGATGCTACACTTCCAGCACCAGTGCTGAAGGTCCCTGTAGGTTTCTGCTCCCCAAAGGAGGACTGTCCAAAGCTGAAGGTCTTGGCACCACTATTACCGAAGAGACTGTTGGTACCTAGAAGACGGACAGGTAAATGTAATTACACAACAATAAAATGATCTGGGTTTATTTGGTTTGTTCTTTGACAAAGTAGTTACCGCTGACTCAGAACAAAGTCTTGAACAAAAATGATGAAAATATTTCTGAACCTGACATAAATCGGCAACTACAGTTCAAATTTTCTAGTTAATCTGCAGTTTTATTACATCTTAGCCTACCTGTCTGACCAGACTGTCCAAACACTCCAGTGGAGGAGGTGGTGCCAAATGGATTCTTGTTGGCAGCGTCCTCGCTTGGTTTGCCTCCTAGGCCGCTGAAAAATCCTCCACCACCAGATGAGACTGCTGTATTGGCTGAACTGGAACCAAAGAGACTCCCAGATGACGGCTGCTGCTGGGAGATAAACATTAATTCAAAAATTTGTCTAGAAGAAAGGGAATTCAAGAAATTTCCCAAAGTTGGTTTAACAAAAAAAAAGAAAAAAGAAAAAAAAAAAAAAGATGGGTCATACCTGTCCAAATCCACTGCTAGACTGCTGGCCGAACACCGGGTTGGCAGAAGAGCAGCCAAAACCTGTTTGAGAACAAAAGACAAATTCAATTAACACAGACAAGATCAGATTACTGCATTTGGCCCTTGATGCCAGGCCCATTTTATAGTCATCACTACAGAGTGAAAAGTGGGACCCCCCCCCATAAAGTATGAAATCAGGAATGCCAAGCTGGGACTAACTGCTGAGTTAATGCACTGACATCAGCTGTGGCATTCTCATACTGCTCTGAGAATTTATAGAAGCTTTGGGAACGGCACAACACCCGCCATCCCACTCAGGCTGACAGTACACCACAAATCTTTCCTGCAAGATGATACCATTTCAAACACAAGTGCCACATTTACCACAACATGTGGAGGTCAGCCAGAGCGAGTGTAAAACTTTGCACATCCTCCACTGCCCACTAACCTTACAGACATCACAGTTCATAAGCTGTCAGACAGTGTTAGTATAATCACTGTCAAATGTGACTGAACAGCATGCAGCCGAGAAGCTCTGGTTATTGATCATTTCATCATGTCGGTGACACAGTGTGGTCTCTGTTAGGCGGGTGCGAAATGAGAGAATTTTCAATACCAATTTCTTTCTGACATTTGGTGTCATTTTTCCAATTTATAAAAAGCCACAGAACTTACAGTAGTTTTAAATAAAGATGCCAATGATTTCTTTAAAAGCTCTGAAGTTGATCCAATCACGTCCAGAATCGGACTCACCTGACGGTTGTCCAAAGCTGAATCCTGAAGATGAGGATGTGGTGGTGTTACTCCCAAACACAGATCCCTGTCCAAATCCAGAGCTTTGGCCAAAAGCCTGGTTTGTGCTTTGTGCAAACAGCCCAGTGCCAGTGCTGCTTACTGTGTTAGCACCGCTCGTCCCGAAGGAGAAAGAACTTGCATTGGTAGCAGTAGAAGCACCGAAAAGACTTCCGCCAGTAGTTGCACTACTAGAAGTCGCTCCAAATGCAGACTGTCCAAAAGTAAATCCACTCGATGTTCCAGTGTTGCTTGCAGGCTGGCCGAAGCCACTAACCTGGCCAAACACAGATTTGCCAAAACCAGCTGATGTACCAAACCCAGCTGAGCTGAATCCTGTTGATGCTGGTGCAGAGGAAGCTGGAGGTGCAGCAGGTTGTCCAAACACGTTATTCACAGCAGTCACTGTTGCACTACTAACAACGGTAGAGGTTTGAGTAGCTGCAGCTGGGGCAGCTGTGTTGATAACTGGTGTGACTCCAACAGAACTACTGTCTGTAGTTGCAGGAGCGGGCTGAGTAAAAATGGAGCCTGGCTTGTCAGACGTGGGGATCTGGAATGCTGGTGGAGCTGCCTGAGATACAGGTGCTGCGGTGGCAGCAGTTGAAGAGGGTACAGTAGCAGTGGTAGATGGCTCTGGGGTGGTTTCTGTTGTGGACAGGGCACTGGATGGTGCCGGAGGGTTTACTTCTTTTGGTGCAGTGAAAGTCGAGGGAGGGTCTGGGGTAGGGGCAGGTGCGGCCAAAGCAGGAGCAGGTGTTGACACTGCAGGGGTCTGGGTGGTTGCAGGTGCTGCAGGTTCAGGTATCACAGGACGACTGGTGCTCTCTACTTCAGGTTCACTGGTGGGAGGTTCTTTTATAGGGGGCGAAGCAGGTACTGAAGACTGAGGAACAGCTTTTGGTTCTTCTTGCGTCTCTGGTGCAGCTGCAAGAAGACTACTGAAAGATGAGGCGAAAGCTGAGCTGGCTGAGCTAGACTGTGGAACGGAGAAGGCTGGCTTGGCGTTTGATTCAGGAGGCTTAAACAGACTGCCTGACGGGGTCCCTTCGGACAAGTCTGGTGCTGAAGAATCTTCTCCAGATTTTGGAAGACCTGTTCCAAAACTAAACTGTGTCGCTCCCTTGCCCTTGCCAAGTCCAGTGTCCGCAAATGTAAATGCTGCCACAGCAGGTTTGGTGGAGGAATCTTTAGCTTCTTCTCCTTGGCCCACCCTTAGTCCAGAAAAAATGCCCAGAGTCTCGCCACCAGCTGTCTTTGGAGGCTGTGGCTCTATCCTCAGAGTGGCTGTGGTCGAGGTGGGTTTAGCACCTTCAACTGTTGCGTTTGGAGCCAAAGTGGGAGACCCAGTGCCAAGACCAGGGGAGGTGGACTTTGAGGTAAAGGAGAATGACTCTTCTCCAGCCTGGCCAAACACCATCTTACCATTTCCACCAAAAGAGAATTTACTTGCATCTTTCACTGGAGAAACAGGAGAAAGAAAAACAGAAATAATGTGCATCAGTAATCTCACAGCTCCTACATCTATCCTAACAAGCTGCTATATCATTTGTACCTTGTGGCATTCCAGCTCCTGGTGTAACTGAAGCAAAACTGAAGCTTGAGGACCTGAAAAAAATAAAATAAAACACCATTTAAGTTTAAATGCAGCAACAGTGAGATGCTCATTATATTTTGTAACAAGACATATTTACGTGTGAAAAATGCTGGATTAACCAGCCAATCTCAGCAATACAGCCATGTAAACACTTGCTCACCTATTAGGCTAGATTTGGATTACATTAGAGAACTCTTTCAGTACACAACTTATGATTTTGCTCCAGGAGCTATTACCACCCAGTCAAGCATAGTTGTAAGCTGATGGAAAGCTTTAGTAAGCGGGCCCAAATCCTTTGTGAGAGGATGCATTTCATATACACCCCCGAGTGCAGGTTACAAAATAAGTTGGCCTTTAGAGGAATGTGTCTTAAAACATTTTCTATTATAGTGTCTTTTTATGACAAAAATAATGATTTAGTCTTAATAAGTGGATAGATATTACTTGAACAAAATAATCACAAACATAGTGTATAATCTCTAAAATACTGCTGGGCCATTAAAAATATATTATATTTATAAACATCAACTCACACTGAATTGAAAGAAAAACCCTTGCTGCTGGTTTGCTCAGCTGAGCTAGGAGTAGCAACAGAAGCATCAGTTTTGGACGGCTGACCTGAAAGAAAAAGTTTATAGTCAATGTCAGGATTTTACAGTGTGTGTGTGTGTGTGTGTGTGTGTGTGTGTGTGTGTGTGTGTGTGTGTGTGTGTGTGTGTGTGTGTGTGTGTGTGTGTGTAACAGTGCTTACCAAAAACAAAACTGCTCTGTGGGATGGTTGTAGTCTCTGCAGGCATTTTTTGGACACCCTGGACAGGATTCTGCCGAGACAGTTTTAAATACATGTATGAAATTAATATTACAGCCTAACTGTTAACCTTACAGAAAAACAACACTACTATGATGCATTCACGATTTAAAAAATATAACACACAGGATTGTTTCAGGTGAAAGCTCAAGTCCACTAAGACATAAACTTAAGGCAGATATAGAGAAAAAAACAAAACAAATGTCTATAGGTAATCGTGCAGCACATGAACTTGGAGCTACACAAGAACAGGATTTCTGCGAGGAGTACCCCTGTCACCCAACTGTAATTTGTAACATCAACATGGGTGGGAGGTGGGACATTTCTCACCCATCTTGATAATGGTCTTCACAGGAAAAACTGTCAGCAAACTGTGAATTCTCACATGCTGAATGTTCTTGAAAGTTGTGAGAAGACGAACATAAAGCTATGAATATACCTTTATAATAACTTTTACTATTTAGCACGTGGACACATAAAAATATACTGAAGACATTTGTTTGTGGTGGCACTCCTTGGAAAAGTACAAAACCACATGAAAGGTAAAGTTTTTTTACATGATTTTTTTTTTCAATTTAAAGTTTTTATTTATTCCTTAAAATATAGATAAAAATGGTTTCAAATATTTCACATGCAAGTCAACTGAGATTTGTGTTGTGAAGATTATTTAATTTGAATTAATATGTCACCCAAGTAACAGTAACAAGAAAGTCAAAGACAAAATGACAGGTTGGTGAGTGATGGATTTACTCACCCGTTTGGCCTGACTGGAAGAAACTGTTGCAAAGACCTGAGATCCTGGATCTGGTACCGAGGAGCTGGGGACATCAACACAACCATAAGAGGGCACAGTTTTCACATGGCACAAAAATATTTTTAAATTTACATTATTTAGTGGTATGTTTATGGCAAGGGTCCCTCGCAGCAGCCTTTACCATATCTCTTGCCTGGTCACCCTGTTAAGCTATAGTATCACCCCCATATTACTGACTATGTTAGTGATTATTAAAATAAGAATACATCAAAAATGTTTCAACTACATGTTGATCAAGTACATCCAAGTGTCCCACACCTATCTCTAAATATCTGCTAATCTTTAAGGAATTGGTTATTAACTGATTTTCTGATTCTTTTTAATAGCTACAAATAATAAGTCTTAGGTAATGCCAGTAATCTCGTTTACAGTTATACAGAGGAATAGTTTGTAACACTGACCAAAAATAAAAACAAATAGACTTCTACTTGGGGTTTACTATCTTATTTGGAAGCTATAGTCTTGCCGTATTTGTAGTTTACCCTTGACACATTTTATCTGCTTTCCCTCAATTGCCTTTAAAGGAGTGGGGGTGAGAAGGTGAGAAGTGACCTTCGTTTTAGGTTTTACCTGATGTTGGAAGGAACCACCACAGGAGTCCCCTTGTCTTTGAACTCCTGAACATTGACCACCTGAGGAACAGTCTTCAAGGTGGACTCTGTCAGTGAAGTATTGATCACAGCTGGAATATAAACACATGCATATTAGAGCAATTCACAGCTGGAAAAAAAGGTACCAGATGAGACAGAAGCAATCAAACTGAATGTCTCCAGGTTTATTTAAGCCTGCTCTGTTTACATGGAAACATTTTAGCAAATTACTCTCAGGCAGGATGTGGTAATGAGCTAACAGTTACATATTATCTATTCTTTAAGTCTTTGTCTCCCCCTGGTGAATTACTGAGGGAATAACAAAACAATATTTAAAAGATCCCCAAATGCCCACTGTAGCTAAAAACAAATGTGCACATCTTCCTCATTGTTTAAAAACAAATAAATACATTTTGACTGCTGCACAATGTTACTTACCCAACTGACTGGCCATCTGTCTGCGTAAAGCAGCATTGGCTGCAGCCTGCTGGGCAGAGATGGTGATGGGTGCGGTCCTCTCGGTTGGTGGAGCTCCATGCTTGACTGTCTTTGTGGCGAGAGCCGTGCTCTCAGCCCCGCTGAGGTTGATCTTATTTGTTGGAACTGGAATATTAATGCAGTAATCAATATCTACAAAAAATATCCACATCTAAGACTAGCGACATTACTTTATGTTCAGTAAAATATGGCATTATAACTTGAAGTCATTTATGATTCATGAATGCGTCCTCGTAATTTTTTATGAACAGCAACAGTTGGTATAATTTACTTACTGGGGCTGGCAATAGGGCTGAGTCCAAAGCCCATACCCTGTCCTGACTGAATTTTAGATAAAGGGGTGGACTGGATGGCTCCGAAGCCCGGCTGAATAGAGGGGGTCCTCACAACGGTTGGGTGGCGGGGGGTGGACAATGTTGGAGGTATGGAGGACATGGGAGGGGGCCGTGTCTGCAGCTCCTCTTCTTCCTGCTCCAAGTGAGGCGGGTGAGGCTCCAGGGACTGGGACAGGGAAGATGTTGAACTCGCGTCATCCAAGTCCTCGTAGTATTTAGGTGAAAGGAAGGCTGAGCGAGATAGGTTGGCTGAAACAGAAAAATGAATAAATACATTTCAATTCCAATATGTGAGGTGCTGCTGCATTCCACAGTATGAGCATCAGCATGGGGATTTCAATATTAATATCACTGAAATGAAGCGGGTGTTGAATTTGGCATTTGCAGTTGTGAGGAAAAAGCTACTGTCGACATGAAATTAGCACTCACATTTACTATGATTTATTATGAAACACACTAAGAGGGCTTGATTAACATCCCTTTACTTTAAAATCAGGCTTTTTGTATACTTTTTCAAAAGGCGAAATCCACAATCATTTGAACATTTAGGATAAAACTTTCATGTAACCATAAATTTCTAGTACCTGGTGCAGTTGAGCGGACAGGAGGCATCTGTCCCTTTGAGAGAAAGTTGCGCAGCTGGGACTGTTTAACTGGTGATATCTTGACAGCTGCAGAGACATCATACATACTGAAATATACTGAAAAATATACTGAAATGATTAAATATATCCTGTGCTGTTTTTATGCAGACGGTAGGGAAAAAAATCAATACCTGGAGATTTGGTCTTAGAAGGGGTAGGGTCCAGCCTGGTTTTCAGGAGAGCATCTCTTAAAGTCTCAAGGTCATTTTCCAAACTAATAACAACACAAAAACATGGTGTTTTTATCCAATAGGAGCAAATGGAAGCATGTGAACATCCATACATTATAAGGAATGCTGCTTGGAACCATTCTTTACCATACATGATGTTTAAGCTGACTAAAACCCTTTTTAATAACTTAAAAACTGACTTATAAACCATAGATAATGGTTAACTTAAAACTTAAGTCTTTCCTTAAACTACCGCACATAACTAACTCCTAATATCCTCTTAAATCCCTGTTTTTTCCCCCCACATTCTGCAGCCAGGCCTTACCTAGCTGTCGTTGCTGTCACAGGACTTCTAGCAGGAGTGGTTGTTTTGCTGTAGAGGCGTAGTGAATTGAGCTCCTTAACCAGCTGGTCCAGTCTGTTCTTCTGCTGGTTGATGATGTACAGATTGTTGGACAGTGTAGTGAACAGACCCTCACGTCCAGGCACAACCATGTGTCTGTAAAGAGATTTATTTAATAACAAATTATACTCCATCCAATTTTTATTCTCTCTTTTTATCCAACACACAAACTGCTGGTGGGATTATCTGCCATTTTCTTTAAAACTCACTTCTGCTTTTTCTTCTTCTCCAAGTGTTTCTCCCATTCCACATCCAAGACATCATTAACATCCTCCACAGTGAACATAACATACTGGTATAGCCTTCGAATCTCCTGAATTAAAAAAAAAAAAAAAAAAAAAGATCAAATATACATGATGAAGGAGATTATTTTTATAAGAATATGTAAAACCTTAAAACTGTCAATTCATGCAAACGATTTGGGGGTAATCTGTCATTTTATTTCTCACCTTGAGCTGTTCCTCACTGCGTGGGTCCAGAGGCTTTTTGTAAAGTAGCTGTCTGTAATTTCTGTCTTTGCTCAGTTCACTCTGGGTCTTGGCTTCTTCTGCCCCAGCAAAGCCTTCCAGTAGCGAAGTTTTCAGTGTGCCAATGTCACCATGGAGTGACTAAAGATTACAGACACACACACAAAAAGGCTTGAAAGGAGGTTTTAAATGATTTATCAACCTAGAGTGACACCATCTTCCAAACACTGCTTCAGACAGGACTCTAAAGTCACAGTGGTTGAAGTCTTATGGTTGCAGAATTTAAGGTTGTTCGAAATGATTTTTACTGGCTTTCTCAACATCAAATGTTAAAAGGAAGAAGAGCAGTCTGTGAACAGGACTCAGCGTTTCAATCATTGTCTTACCTCTGTAGTTTCCTTGATTTCCAGGGTGAAAATATGGAGGTCTTCCGACTCTTTCCTCAACTCCTTCATTTCCTCATCAGCACCAACCTTAAAGTCAGCTTTTGCACTTCGTGCCTTAAGGTCATCCAATTCCTTCTGGAAGTGTGCGATCTGATGGCAAGTCAGAGACATGTTTAGTAATGTTCTGCCAGACACCACATGTGGTGTCCTGAATAAAGTCCACTACCTTTTCGTAAATCCTACAACTTTGTATGTCAAGTCTTTGGAACTAGTTACTAACTAGACACCTGCACCATTAAAGCTGGTGATATAACTTTTCAACTAATGTACCTATGCCTATTGCTCTATTTATCGAAACACATTATTGCACATAATTAATCTGATGTATCCTTATAAAATAATGACATTAATATGTACTTGTTTGTTATCTTTTGTCCCTCCATATAACATTAATGTGAATAATAAGAAGGTACTTTATTGATCCCAAATGTTGGGAAATTACTGTGTTATAGCACCCGAAACACAAGAAACAACTTAGCTCAATTAAACAAATAATGTATTCATTTCTTCTTTTTCTTCAAGCTGCTTTACAGGTTCATACAGCAGATGATCTGCCTCCATTTAACCCTGTCCCTAGCATGTGACTCTGTCCCACCAACGCTCTGGATGCCCTGGATCTAGGGCTGTGCGATATGACCGAAATCTCATATCGTCCAATAACGATATAAATCACAGAAATTTAACATTTTCTGTAAATTCTGTGAATCTCGGGCGGCTCGTCTTGCAGGAAGTGTTTCCAGCTGCGCGTCATGTAGCTGGAGTCGAGTGTTTTAACCGATGCATGAAACTATACATTTTTAGACACAAGTTGTAACAGCCGCCGTTTTCTTTGTGAGTATTTATTACACGGCGTGCTGCGGGGAAAAGCCTGTTCTAACATTCGAGTCTAAGGTTTATTTTTTAGCACCTGGTGGCTCTTTTTTACTTCTCATCCGTAAATAATCTGCTCTTTCACGTGATTCAGTTTATTTTGAAAAGTCTCAACAGGATCTTGAGCTTTATTGTGAAAGGTTTATGTGGAACAAACAAGCGGACACGCGATGCTGTTACCGTCGTTGTTGTAGTGTGGTTATATTAAATAAGAGAAAGAGAGAACTTTAAGAAATTAATATAGCCACTACAGTGACCATCAAAACGATGAAAAAAATATTGCCGTAAACAGTTTATTTTGCGACAGCATGAAACAAACGATAGCGTAAAATGAAACGATAGACGTTTCTATATCGTCATCCAATATATATCATTATATCGAACAGCCCTAACTGGATCTATAACGCTCCTCTGAGGACTTTTCCTCCTGCCTGGCAGCTCTGTCTTCAACATCATTTGAGATGCTTTGGACATGTGCAGAGGTGAGATAGTGGATATACTGGACAGTTTTGTCAGTAACACATTCAACCTGAATTGTCCACCCTAACACTCATTTCTAATCCTCTTCCTCCTGGTTACTCACAGTGAAAATCATAGCACCTTCAACTCTGCTCAGTCGCATTTATTTATTATGTATTTGGTATAATTATATTGTAGTATTATATGTTCTCTATATAATTTATTTGTTAGTTTATATAATTAAAAAGCATTCTGATTGAGGTCCACACTTGATATGGTGCATTTCATTTTATCACTTTCTTTTCTCTACAAGCTCAAGAACCCATATATTAGAGATTTAAAGCATTCACACGACAAAACCAGCATTTCTTCCCCGACAAACCACTGCTACATGGCACGACAGTACATGATATGTCTCACCTCCTCCAATATGCCAGCCATGATGGGATCAGAGTCTTTCCTTTGCTGTAGCTGTTTCTCCAGGGCCTTCACACTGACACCGGCCTGCTTTTTCATGAAAAGTATATCAAAAGTTACTTTTCACTGTCAGCAACAAACACAAAAAACAGTCTGAACTAAAAAAAATATATCAAAATGCCTGTCATCTGATATTACTTTTAATCTGTCTGTTTCACTTTGTTTTAGTTGAAGTCTGTTGCCAGTAGCAACCAGTGACTGCACAGTTAAACAGAAGTTTGTTTTGTGTTACTTTATTTAGGATTTGTGAATATATTTTTTGCTGCAATTAGTTAATTGTTTACGTATCCAGAGCTCTATATGACAACACCTCCTTTGGGAGTGACCAAATTTAACACCAATCATCATCATTTTGTGTCATTGGTGAATTGTGATTAAAAGGTTGTTTTTTTTAATCTATCGAAAAAGTCTACCACATCACTGAAAGAAACCTATTTGATATAAGAACAGTAAACTTTCTTCGCAGCAAAGAGATCAGACCTGTGGAGCCTGGGTACGGGTCTGGACAGCAGGAGAAGGTTTCTGGACAACTGCTGGAGAGACACTGGTTTGAACTGGATGCACTGGAGCTGATACACATTTGGAACAACAGACAACATGCATTTGCAATTAAGATTCCAAGAGGACCTTTGTAAGAAAAACTACAACATAAATTTAATTACATTAAATACAACACCTTTCTTACCTAAAATAGCTGGTGGTTTGCTGGCCAAAGAAGGAGGGGCAGTTAAACTACTGGAAGTCGTGGCAACCGTTTTGGACAGTGGGGAGTTAAAGGAGAAAGGAGGTTGTGTAGTCTCCACTGTTGAAAATCTTTGGAAAAAGCAGACCAATTTTTAAACATTTAGACAAAAATCGACATCTTAGGACTAATACTGTGAAAAACACGTGATAGTTCAGTACCTGTCATTTAGATTCAGTTTCACTGCAGACTGGGACGCAGGGGTGGCAAGACTCTGAGGAGTTAGAGCTGGTGCTGCTGATGGTTTAGCAAGACTCTGAGGAGTTAGAGCTGGTGCTGCTGATGGTTTAGCAAGACTCTGAGGAGTTAGAGCTGGTGCTGCTGATGGTTTAGCAAGACTCTGAGGAGTTAGAGCTGGTGCTGCTGATGGTTTGACAGAAAGGTTGTTGAAAGAAAAAGCTGAAGGTGCAGAGGGAGTGTCAGAGGGAGGTTTCGAAGCAAAAGAGAAGCCGGATGACCCTGAGCCAAAAGGTGCAGAACCCCCCAGGGAGAAAGCTGAAGGGCCTGAACTGGAGCAGGTAGTTGGGATGGAGAAAGTGAAGCCTGATGCTGCTGATGACACAGGAGCTTTTGGAACAATGCTGAACGGTGCAGCGGCAGAAGAAGTAGCAGGGGATGGAGAACTGGAAGCAGCTGCTGGAGTAAGACCAAGGCTTGGAAATGCTGCTGGGGCAGATGGGATTGAGGCAGCAATTTTGGGTGGTTGGGTTGCTAAAGAGCCTGTGAAAGAACATAAACAAACAAACAAAGATTACTTTTATTTGATCTCATCACATTTAAAGCAGTGTGAGTTTTGTCTACAAGCACAAGCTACTAGTTTAAAAAAAAAAAAAAAAAAGTAGAAAGGTGAAAAAACATTTTTAAAATCACATTTCTGACAGTTTTTAAAGGTATCTGCAGAAATGACCCCTTTATGAGTGAACCTGACTGAACCAAAAAAGAAAAAGCTGTTCATAGAATAGAAGGCACTTGAGAATGTAGTAAAAGCTCACTGCATGGTAAAAACAGTTGGTCACATTTAACAAATGTCAGTGAACAACATGTGAAAAACAACCAAAAAAATTAGAGAAATAAACTCTTTACTAAATATTACTAGAACCAATAATGCACTACACGGCTGCTATATTAGGTACAGCCTGCTAATCCAGGGTAGGACCTTTTTTGCCATTAAAATTACTTTGATTTTTTTTTTTTTAGAAAAGGATGCCAGAAAAATTCCTCAGATTTTGGCCCATATTATTAAAATGACCAAAAAATAATAATAATAATCACACAGTTGCAGCAGATTTGTCAAATCATGATGCAAACCCTCCACATCCAGATGGTGCAATACTGGACTGAGTCACTCCTGGTGACTGTAGATTCCATTTGAGTACATGAACTCAAGAGATCGGATGAAATAAGGTGGAGATTATCTGAGTTTTGTCACATGGAACTTTGTTTGCTGGAAGCAGCCAGCAGATGATGGCTGTACTGTGGTAATAAAGAGATAAACTGGGTTGAGAATAGGGCTGTCCCAAACGATTATTTTGATAGTCGACGAGTCACCCATTATTTTTGCGATTAGTCGACTAATCAGATCATCATCCATTGAACGTAAAACGTACAGCTTATTGCACCAGCAGCATCTGCTCTTATATAACTAGTGTTTAAGGTATGTGGTAACTAAAAATAAAGACAAGATGATAGTTTATTAAATGTAAATGAAATTTGCAGATTGTTTCGGTGGAGTTTAATAAACTCAGCCGTCTGCTCCTTGCTATCTAAAATATAACAGGACACTGGAGTATATTCTCGAGCATCTCACACTTCTGATAATCAGTTGTCTGCTTGACGTTTATTCAGCTGTGTAAAAACTATAACTTTAATCTCAGCCAAACCGATTTACTCGGGAACAAATACTGAAAAAAGCCAAACACTAACATTTTTAAGTTATCTAAGTGACTTATATATCATGTTTAACCTGAGTAGCGAAAGACGGTGGTGGGTTTGAAAACAATCTGCCGGGAGTCCGGTGTTCTCACGGGCTCTAGTGAGCCTTGCCCCCGGCTAACTATCGAGCTAGTGGGTAACAGACGTCTCTGAAAATGTCGGAGCGCTTTTGAAAATATGTGGTGTCTTGATAAACTGAGCAGATATTTCAAGTTTACACAGCTACATTAACATAAAATATGTTAAACGTTTATTTTGTGACCAGAAAGAATAATAAGAGTAACATTAAAACTAAGTAGCTGCCGCCATTGTTGGAAACTGAGCTGGGCCGCGCTATGAATTCTGGGACACAGTTTCTTCTCCTCCGGGGTTTAACGGCAGCTGGCATCCTTGTACATGCAGTGCTGCCATCTTCTGTTTCAGTCCATTATTACACTGTTAAATCCTACTACTTATTCCTGCGTCTTTTGGGATCTTACAAAGCTTCAAACGACGCGTCGACTATTAAATTAGTCGTCGACGATTTTGATAGTCGACGTAATCGTGACTAGTCGACTAATCGTGGCAGCCCTAGTTGAGAACTACTCAAATTCCAACACTCCCATCTTAACATTGGAGCAAAACTTAAGACTAAGACAACATTTTTTCCAATCTTTTATTGTCCTATTTTGGCGAGTCTGTGTGAATTGTAGGCTCAGTATCTCAGCTGACAGGGCTTTGAAAGCGCCATGACCTTCTACTGCTGTAGTCTATCTGCGTCAAGGTTCAACATGTGCATTCAGAGATGCTCTTCTGCATATTTTTGGTTATAATAAGCAGTTATTGCTGCTTTCCTATCAGCTCGCAGTAGTTTAGCCATTCTCCTCCAACCTCTGGTATCAACAAGGCATTTTCACCCAGACAACTGGTGCTCATTTTGCCTTTTTTTGCATCATCTGGGAGACGGTTGTGTGTCAAAATCCCAGTAGAGCAGCAGTTTCTGAAAAACTCAGACCAGCCCGACACGCATCAACAACCATGCCCTGTTCAAAGTCACTGAAATCACTTTTTCTGCCTCATTCTGATGCTCAATATGTCTACATGCCTAAATGCACAGAGTTGCTGCCATGACTTGTGTTCGGTTGCTTTTTAAGTGGTTGTATGAACACAGTTTACAGCTATCAAACATTTAAAGACATAAAGAAGACATCAAAATTAACAAGAGGGATATATTCAGAAAATCTGCTTCCTTAAAGATTAAGTCAGTCATTTTGTTTAGTTTATTTAACATAAAAAAAGAATGCAGTACTCACAGAGCTGGGCGATAGAACGATAACGATATGTATCGCGATATAACTTTTACTCGATAGAGAAATTAAGCTATCGCGATAGACCTCGCCGCTCTTGTCCTCTTAAAATAAAAAAATTAAAATTAAAATTAAAAAACAAGGTCAGCCAATCCAAACTAAGTAGCGCAGAGCCGAACCAATCACAGCCGCAGCGTCACGTCGCGTGACTTGTTACGTACAGCACAAGTGCCAAGCCGCACGTGTGTTTGTTTGGGAAGCAGCCAGCGGGTAATGGAGCCAGCGCGTAATGGAGGAAATGAGTGAGTGTGCCGACTAGAAAAATCAACCGAGCGTGACCGAAGAGAAAACAGATGATGGTTCCAACGCCGGAGAGATTGTCGAACGGAAGAGACAGAGAAGTTCCGTAGTGTGAAGGTATTTCGGCTATTTCAAGTCTGACAAAAAACAGAGTAGCGTGCACTGTAAATTGTGCCGAAAGCAAGTCTGGAAATACAATAAACTGGTGCATGCGTCACACTGCGCGCCACGTTATTGTTTCGGTGAAATGAATTTCTACAATACTGTTACTGTTAATTCTACTCTCTGCAGTGTTTAAATGCTTACATATACACACAGTTACTGTCCCTCCACACATACGACTCGGTTCTGCTTCTATGCCCCAGCTTTGTTTACTTTTTCCCACCGAGGCTTCTAGACTTCTGATTGGCCAACATTTCTGCACGGTTAGGAATCTAGCGCCACCTGCTGCTTTGGCATGTTCCTAGCAGCGTTTTTCTTCATTTCTGCCTTTATGTGTGGACGGGATTATTTTTTTAAAACGGAAACGGAAAATCTCCGTTTTCAAAAATACCCGTGTACGTGTGGACGTAGCCTCAGTCTCTGACTGGAAGCGCTAATTCGTCATTCGGCTTTTGTCAGACTAAAGTAACTGTTAAAACTGTTTGAAAAGCTAAGCTATACAACAAGGAGAGATTGAGAATTTCCTTTTAGTTCTCAGTTTATTTGATATTGACAAAAGTTAGTCAGTTTTGTCTGTTCTTCTGTAAAACAAACTAAGATTTATTTTTAGAATTAATATTTTGTTTCTAAGTGGAATTGACAATTTAGTCTGTTTCGTTTGTTCTATTTTGAAACTTAAACGCTTTAGCGGCTGCCTTTTGTGTAGTTTGCAATATTTGCCTTTATTTATCTGAAAAAGTCTCATGTTCCTTAAGTACATCTACCCTGTTGAACTTATTATGGGAAATAAATATTTAAATAAAAACAAGCTGCTGATTATTTCACATTTTACTTGTGAGCAACGGCACATTTAAATCTTACAAATATAGTTATTTGGCTTATATCGTGATAGATATCGTTATCGCCTGAAATGAAAAAAACATATCGTGATATGAAAAAATCTCATATCGCCCAGCTCTAAGTACTCACAAATGTACTTTGATTAGTGTGTAATTATGTCTTCCAACAAACGGGTGCATTCTCATAAACTTCGAATTAATCCATCAAAATACATAGGAGTGGTTTGTGGAAGTCTCTGCGTTCCCTGACATTTTGAATACAGTGGCTGAGCTGTACATAGAGACAAATCTATGTGCATTTCAGCCACATACACAGCACGCTATAAGTTACTTTAATTTAAAAAAAACAAAAAAAACAGCACAAATAGTCACTTCAAATCCCCAAAGGAGGAGCTGTAACAATTCAAACACTATGCAATCAATACATTATCAATACATTAGGACATTGAAGAAATATTTTAGGCAAACATGGTTCCAATTCACAGGTTTTCTTACCAGGTTTGGGAAGTCTTTCCCCTTCCAAGGCCAGATTAGAAGGAGCCACGACTAGCTGCTTAACCCCTGGATTGAGGTTGAGTAGAGCAAATGGACAAAGTAATCCCTCAGTGGAAAGCATTAGCATTGTGGGCGCTGGGGGCAAGGTCTTCTCATCAGCTTTATGGGAGTGGAAAGATTGGATATAAACAAAGTCAGACACTGAGCAGTTCTCCACACAATATATTTAAAAGTTTTAAGAACATTTGAGTACTAAGACAGTAGGTTCACGCTATAGTTGTCTGACTGAAGTTGGAGCTTTACGCCCTCTAGTGGTTAAAAAAAAAAGTATCCAGTCTTCATTTCAAAAAGATACTCCAGTCAGTTACAGAGACAACTGTTCTAATATTTGTAATTCGGTAAAAGAGTAAGATGCCTTTCTCTTCTCGCCAAACCCTGAAACATTTTCTGCTCCTCACACCCACTTTCTTGCCCTTTCCAAAGCCTCGCAGTATGCTGTGGGCTGCAGAGAAAATGGCAAATCATGTCTAAACCACCATTCAAATAACGAAACTGACTATTCACGACACAAATTAAAGATGCATTAGTCAGAGTTGATACTAGTCATTTCAGAAATGCCAACAAAGTACACTGAACACACAGTCCTCTTTGTTTTCTCTATGACCACGTTTTATATCTAAAAATACTGTATTTATCAAGTATAACTGTTCATGAGTGCATGAAAAAGTGTTGCTTTTTCTGACCGCGTCATTAATATCCACCGACTTTGCACCTATTTGACCCATGAGCTACATGCATGATAATCAGTGTCAATGTACACACACAAATACACACCCACACTGACAAATAAAATGCCAAGAAATACACTTGAAGAAGCAGTGCGATTTAAAGTTTTAGACAAAAAGAAAGCATACACCCCCACCCCACCCCAAAAGACTGTATCTAATGCTTTTTTGTTATGAAACTAAAGTTTGAAAGCTTTAGAGACGCAAGCAGAGAGAGGGTGAGAGGGAGCGAACAGACGGGAGAGGCACACGGTAAACCTCATCAGCATTCTGCAACAGGATTGTCTGGGCTTTGTTGTTTGTTATGGTCCTCTAGCTTGTGTGAGCCATTTTAATGAGTGCATTTTTCCCTACAGATAACTCCCTCCTACTCTCCCTTTGCTTTTCCAACCTAATGTCTAACTTTAGATCAAGGTTTTGATCAGACTACAATCATGTCATAATGTTGCTCAAATTGCAGGGTTTTTTTTCCCGTAATGGGGAGGGAGGGAATCGTAGAGCGAACAGGAAGAGATGTGACTAGACAGCAACAGCAGCTCTACGTGAATGTCTGGCAGACTGGGCCAGTTAAGATAAAACAGTGTACTGAGACGATAGCTTATCACTATTCTTTACACATGCTGCAATACAGCACTGCGGTGAATGCTGTATGCACACAGAAACCTGACGGATTTAAGATTCACTGGCTCATTAGGGGACTTCTCACCAGAAAACATTTTAAAGTTGAAACAAAGGCAAGGGAATGCGCTACAAGAGATAACACGACTAAATTAAATTAAACTAAACTTAAAAATGACCAAATTAACTTTTGTCTGGTGGCAGAGGAGACGTGCACCGTCGCCTATCTTTAGAGCGTGGTAGGAGGGCTGAATGATGTTTTTCACACCCCTGGATTGAAAAAATACAGGCCATTTATTTTACACCGCAGCTGTCTGATTCTTTAACAAGAGACTGTCACTATGTGTCTTGGTGAAGAAGAAAAAAAAGAATTAGAAACTATGCACCCACCACAGTCAACCAAATATAATGCGCCTGTCTCTGCTAAAAGAAATTCACTCGAAACTAACACGAGCCTCTGTGTTTTGCTGACTTATGGTGCGATCGAGTCATTAATTCCTCTTCCATCTATTTCCACAGTTTTCTGCTGACACACAAGTTAGAAGACAGCTCACTACTGATCACCAGATTCACAGCGTAAACACAATAAATCCATGGTGAGCACTAACACTGCACTGCTTCGCCAGTGTTCAAAATGCTGCATTACTTTTCCCACACAATCCACATGTTTTTCCAACAGTGTCGATCCAAATTCTTAGAAGCTCTGACTACCATGATAGAAAATGTCAAAATCGTGATCCATGATTATTCACTAAACTTGAATGTTATCCTTAATGATATTTATAAATCTCACTGACTGTGTTGGGTCTCATTTCTAGCACCAGCACTGTGAAAGGTGTACATCTACGTGGCAAGGTGCCAGATGAGGTCAAGGTTTTGTTTTTTCAAAGTGACTTTAAGCAGAGACGGCAACATTGTAACGATTTTTTTATTTACTCATTTTTTTTAAAACCCTGCTTTAGGGCTGCTCAATTAATCGAATTTTAATCTCGATTACAATCTGGGCTTTCAACGATCATTAAAAATGACTGAGCCGATTATTAGCACCTCCCTCGTGCTTTACTCTCGCGCTGCTCCGTGTGACAAATCGAGCGCACCGCTCTGCGTTTCGAACACACGTCACAACAATTAAGAGGACCCAAGGGAAGCTCGGAAAGCTAAGCAGAAGTTATTTGGAGAGGAGAGTGACTGCCGTTGGTTGAAAAGAGAGGTAAAAAAAACAAAAAACAAAACTTCAGTGGTGTGGAAACATTATGGGTTCGCGGAGTCAGAAGTGGATCAAGTAGACATAGTGTGTAAACTTTGCTACGGTATCGTAGCTGCACCACAGAGCAACACTGCAAAGTTCACTGAACATAGATGTTTACATTTTCCATTTATTTTTTATATTGCAAACATTTGCACTGTTATCAGTATTTGCACACTATTTTATATTATTTTTTGACAATCTTTAAAGCCATTATTCAATACATTGTTATTGTTAAATAAATATCGTCAAATAATCGAGATCTCAATTTCAGTGAAAATAATCGTGATTATCATTTTTGCCATAATCGAGCAGCCCTACCCTGCTTTGTTTTTTGGGATTCCATTGAGTCAGGCATTACAGTTGTTATGTCTGTTAACATTTGCTCAATCAAATGACAGCAGTATTTCTGTCAACAACTGTAGCACAGACAGATCACCTTTATTGTACTGTACGCAGACTGGTCATGCTTATTTGACACAGTCAACAAGTCTGATATATTCTGAAATAACATGAATCATAACCCAAGTCCTTATGAAGGTTATGCCACAAAAAGAGAAACAAACAAACAAAAACAAGGCAAAACAACAACAACAGTAATAATCTTTATATATGAAATTAACTTCTGCTTAGACAAGTGAAGCAACTAAATACATAAAAAGTCATATTCACTTACTTATGTGGATTTCCTGCTGGCTGGTGTAATCTATAGCTAAGCCAAGGGGCAAAGTGTCTTCATTTGTTTCAGTCACTCGAAGCTCAGCCCTGCTCGAATCTTCTAGTTGCCAAACTTCCCACATCTAAAAGGGGTAAAAATAAGGCATGGTCATCACCATTTACAGAGAGTAAGTATTCAAACAAAATCCAAGGAAAATTAATAGATTTGGGCGGGTGGGGGTATTTACAGTTCCTAAAAGCATCAAGTCTAATTCTCTAAAACGTTGAAGCACTTAGATAAAATTATTGGTTTACCTAATTGATAAAAATTCAGCAAAAGCACAAGCTTGCTCAACTGTCACCAAAAAAGTCAGGTAAGCATTGGATATTTGACCTGGTGGGAGCTTAGCTAATCTAAATTATTTAGAAGGTAAGTGTTGTGACTGACTAGAAGCTGCTGTAACACTTATGCAACCCTCCTCGATTTTTTGGAAGCATTTTACTTTAACCGAGTAAAACAAACGGATGTAAAGACAAAGTAGAAAAATGACAATACATTCAAGACCACTTTCATTTATCTCTACATTTAGACAAACCTAAAACGTTTTCACACATTTTAGCGTTTACCTTATCGTCTTGTCTGGCAATGACGCTGACCTCAATGGAAGCTGCTGATGCTGCAAACACAAGGTCCCTGGATGAAAGAAAAAAAATAAAAACAATGAGACAAAGCTTCAATTTACCATGACCTTAACATCAAACAAAGCACAAAACTTTCAGGGCATAAACAATGAGTTTTAGCTTATAAGTAATCAGGCTTTCAGGTCACTGTTGGAGCAAATCTATCAGTTGGGATCAGTCTTACCAGTCCTCTACGTGACTGAGGAAGTAGTGGTGCTGACGCTCCGTACAGCTTCCAAAAACAAATTCACCAAAGTTCAGAAACTTTGGCTCCACTTTCTCATCCTTCTTCTGTAAAATAAATAAATAAATAAATCTAGAGTAGAGAAGTGGCATACTTCAGTAGCACTGTAATTTATGTCAAAAATGTAAGCTGCAGAAAAAGAACCACAATATGCATACAGTAATTTATGTGCATTAACCTGTCAGCTAGTGACATCAAACTGTGTCTCAGGGTTGGGGGGGTTTTTTGTGCTAAATCTGCTTTCTGTTAAACAAATTTAAGGGGGATGAGTGGGCCTCAAGAGTCTTGGTATACAGACTGTAAAGCTGTCTAACACACATACAAGTTTGAGTTTTATAAATAAAACTGATTGGACATTAACACTGTTAAAATGCCTTAAGCTACCCATGGGAAACAGGTGCAGCAATTTATTGGAACATCTGCAAACAGAAATGGAAATACAGCATATAACAAACTTTGTACAATTTTAACAAGCTTGAAGGTTTACAGTTTTGTATTACCACCTTTATTCTTCATCACAGCCTGAACTCTCTGATGTAGTCTTTCTTGTAATTTCTTTAACCTCCTAGGACCTGGCGTCCACAATATGGACATCACATTTTGGGTTGTCTAGACCAAAATACTACATTTTGCTCTACAAGGGCCTGATATCCACTTACGAGGACATTATACTGCCACTGTTCTATTGAATTTTTAAACAAATATGCTCATATGTGGATCTCATTTTTCTCAGAAACAAAAAGTAAAAAAATAAAAATTTAAAAAATTAAAAAATATATAAATAAATAAAAAATAAAAAAAGAATCTGGTAATTCTTTGTTTTTACATTCATCAGGTGCCAATCATCCCAAATATCAAAGAGAAATTAAAAATGCATGCCATGGAAGAGTTCAGGTCTTAGGAGGTTAAGTAGTCGCTTAAAGGCCATTTAAAGCTCTTCTTTGGATGTTGGTTGCGTTTTGTTAAATTGTCTGTTAAGATGATTCCACACTGTTAATGGGCACTGAGGAGGTCAATCCATGACTGATACAGTGTTGCCTTTTTCAATTTACACAAACAAACATTCCTCTGAAAATGGTCAGATACAAGGACTGGACAGGAAAAAAAAATTGTGGAAAAGCAGCCAATGTCCAAAGAAAAACCTTGAAATACCTTCAGAGAGCCTGCATAACGCTTTCTCTGTCATTAAAAAAAAAAAAAAAAAACTACAAGTGTAGCTGACTGGGAGCAAAATATGAAGAAATGACTGGTGACTCAATACTTTTGCACAGTAGTGTAAATATGAAAAGAAAGCACAAAAGCCCAATTATGGTCAAAGCACTGGTCACTGCATGCACAGCTGTGATGTCATCAGAGCACCAGAACTACATGCACTGAAACCCAAGGGAAGCCTAAGAAGTAAATAAATAAATATATCACAGATTCATAGGAATAAGCAAGTTTTTTGTTTTAAATCTTTGTTTCTACCATCTGGAAATCTATGTTCCTTCACAGATGTGTCATAGAAATGTCTCCACTGACTGACCTGCTTGCACTGACATGCCTCCAGACTGGTTGTGCCAGGCATACAGGAATACTGTATGCAAAAATGCTGTGAAGTTTCTTTTGGTACTCATGGCTGCCAATGGCAACCATTGAAAACAATCGACACTGTTATTCTTTGCTTTTTTTCTGTGGTCATTTTCTCTGCACTGAAACATTTCTGTATTAATCCCTGTTTAATTATTAAAACCTGTATAAAGCTCTGGAGGCATAAAACACTAATGATGAACAATTAGATGTTCTGATGATCAGTTTGCTGGATCATTCCTGCTCTCTTTCACTTCATGTGGGGATGATGTGAATATTTATGAATAAAGATGACTGTGATCAAACGACTTGTAGATTTTCAGACTTAAAAGCAGCTCTAATGAATTCCTAACCATAATCTAAATGTATTTACTCCAAGCATAAATACACAAATATATTTGTAAACAATGTTTAAAAACTGCTGTGCATTTATATTTTAAGTATAAGTTGAATTGTTACAGTTTGAACCTGGATCATCTTTTTCACACACTTCACAGATCAATAACTAATCTGCTAGATACATGTGTTTAACTCTGTTACTTGCATTGTTATCACTGTCAAGTTACTGATAAATAAATAAATTTTAAAATTTACGTGATAAAACTTAGAAACGAAAGCAAGGAAAATTCAAGATGAAAATGTGGATAATAAATTTAACTCTCCATAACTGAGCTGCAGTGATGATTTTTTTCCCCCCCGATACCCATGAATGGTCTTAACTGAGCTTCATACTATGATCAGCAGTTCGACCGTAGAACCAGTCTGTTAAACCTGATAAACCCAGATAAAAATCAATCATAAAACGATGCCAGGCATACTTACAGGGAGTGAGATCAACACTAGCTCAGGGGGGGTCTCAAGTGAGCCATCTCCAGCAGCATATGCTACTGCAAACACATAGGTTTTCAGCCACAGCACATCCACAGCTGTGAGAGACAAATAGGAAAGAGAGACAAGACATTGGAACATCAACAAAACAGCAAGACTCAGCTCCTCCTTTTCCTATACAACTTGAAATATTTTATGGAATCACTGCAATCTATTACTAATCTATCACCACCAAGATAAAAACCTTAGTGTACGGACCATTTTCATAGTTTAATTTTATATACATAGGTATGGCTACCTTACCTTTTACAGTTTCGCCAGGGGTGAAGAACTGTGGACATGGGATAACTTTCTTTTCCTCCAGTCCCTTTAGAACAGAGGAGAAAAATCTGTTCCTGTAGCTTCCAAAGACTGTTAAGCAATTTGCTTTTAATTCAAAATTCTTCTTATTATAACTTACTGGTGTATATTGTGTGACTGTACCATCCATTTTTCCAGCTGCAACTTGCTTTCCCTTTGGACTCCAGCAAACTGTGGTAAACAAAGCAAGTAAACAACTACTGAACCACATCAGCGATATGGACTGCAGATAAATTTACCAATTATGTCAAGAGTGTCACTCACTGCAGGTAATTCCACTTGAAGAAGGCAGCCTGGCCTGCACATTGACACTGTCAGTAACATCCAAAATCATTATAGTGCCATCAGAGAGGCAGACAGCCAACACAGACACCTGCGCAGGATTCCACTTCAGGTCCTGCACTAAGACGTCAGGTGCTACAGCTGGCTGGTGCGATGCAAATGGTAGCTTCTGTAGTTTTCCCTGGAAAAGCAAGGAATGCAAATTAAAACAAATATCAGACAACATGATTACATTTACCAGACAAGGTGAAATTTGGCAACCGGTGTTCGACTGTGTTAACACATTAGGTAGACAGACTGAAATAACTACCTTGTTCATGAACGTGCGGACATCATAGAATGTGAGCAACAAGCCAGCTTCCTCAGACATGCCACACATGGACAGTGTGAGCTCATCACAACTGAGAGCCACGTGGTGCAAAATTAGTTCCACGGTCACTTCAGTCAGTGCTGGTATTCCTTTGACTAAAATAGGGAGGAAGATGTTAGTGGACAGTGAAACAGCAAAAATTATTAATGACATGAAACATGTGGTGTATCTGTCATGACAACATTGTGTTTTTAACCTGTCATCATTGCACTATTTAAAACTGCATGTGTATTCATACCTATTTCGTTGGAGTTGCCATCACCTTTATCAGCAGCCAGAATATCTCGAGTTAAGTACACCTTGAGAGTTCTGTCAAGCCCCACAAAAGTTAAGCCATATTTATTTGAGATGGCAAGGAGGCTGGATCTGTCTTTTGGCAAATCTTCGGTGGGGTCAAACACTCTGACTTTCTTCATCTGACGAAACTGAAAATCCTAAAACGAAAGGCAAACACTTTCATTTCATGGTGACCTGTTATGAACTGTTAACAACTGTGGGTCCACTTCGGTAAATGCAAACGCAGCGTCTTCGAGACAGAATAATACACACTTTAAATAAACATTGTTGACAAGACAGCGGGTGAGCCTGAAGGGTGATCTCAAAGCCAAAATGTTTGTAATGCCTCTCAATTAGAACTATGCTAACACGTTACCATATCGTGTTAGCAATCGGTGCAAGGCTTGTTGTAATGTTACAGCAATATATAAAACTTAAACAAAAAAAATGCAATGTGTGTTAGAACACGTTATTTTACAAATGCATAATTTAATAGGACGAATCCACCAAACACAGCGGCGTTTAACTTTACAAGCACAACATCACACCGGCTATGGTGCTAACCCTAAGTAGCGGGCTAAAATAAGGCATGAATAAAACTGCAGTAACTACTTTTAATTGAAACGCTTTTAAACCGCTGTGAAAGTCTTTAATGTTTTATCGTATCAAAATAGTCATTACAGTTCAGTAAATATCGTGAGGATAAGGATACCTAAACCAGAAAACATAACCCACGACAAGTGGCTTGTTTAGCTAGCCAGCTAGCTAAACTAGCCACTACATTAAGGGTGAACTGACACGGTAACTTACACATGCTAACCTGTGAAGTCAACTTTACCAGAGACATACCTTCATTTCCCTCTCAGGAGGGGAGTCCGCATCGTCACTCATTGTGAAATTTTGAGGGTTTTTCTTCCAAAAGACCTGCTGTGTTCGTTTATTTCTTGCTAGTATGTACCACAGAAAGTTTAGGTTAGCTACATCAGGACAACTAAACACACGCCGCGCGATTTCTCCGTTGAAAAAACAAAAACCAGCTAGGATGACGAGTAGATACCAGAGCAGCTTGAGAGAACACGAGCTCATACAGTCGAGTATGTTTAAGAGTTGCAATTAAAGGTTGAATTATCTAGATATAATTAAAGGTATATATTTTACCCTTTTAATAGTAAGTAAAAAAATGCATAAAAGTTGTGTTTTTGTGTGTGTGTGTGTATACAAAAACATAACTTTTATGCATTTTTTTACTTACTATTAAAAAGGTCCCACTTTTTACAGTAATAGAATAACATTTTTTCCACCAACAAAGTGATTTCCATGAGCCATTAACCCAAACTTATAAGTGTTGGCTAATAGTTAATCTATAATTCTACTGTTCGAAGCTTCAGCATAAATTATCTAAATGGACTGGTGGCTATCAGGGAATGGAATAAAAGCCAGCAAAGGAGAGCTCTGATTGTCCTTTGAGGATCCTGGAGAGCTATCCTTGAAGACTAGTTCAAGAATTTACAAGAGTTCAGGCTGTGTTCGAGGATAAAAGTAGTTATACCAAATACTGACTTTCAATCTTGTTAGAGTTGAACACATTCTTTCACCTCACATACCATATAATCATGCGTGTTTCAATAAACTGCTGCATCTTCAGTCTTTCTCATTTTCATAGCAAAATAAATTTTAAAAAATTGAAAGAATGAGGGGTAGCTTAATAAGAGTCCCCCCATACATATATTTATATATCATAGATGAAATGCTTAGGTTAATATGGTTGATTTGGATCGATCCAGTGTTGCCTGCAATTCTAAACCTGTGCCTTCATGAAATAAAACTGGCTGTATACTGTATGTTACATTCATCTTTGAAGGAACTCCAGTGACTCATCCAGCAAAATTTAACACCATTTTAATGACACAAGAATTTCACAGCTCGGTGGCACAGACAGTGAGAATTATTATTGTCACTAATTTGTCTTCTTTCTGCTGGAATCTCATTACTTACATGTTTGAAGCCATGCAGATCTACAATAAATCGCAACTTCCAGAGAAAAATATATTTCAAGTGCATCCTTTTGTAGGTACTTTGGCAAATGCAAAGAGAGACAAAAGACAGTATATGGTGAAGTAAGGACTTTTATTAGAAAGCAGATTTTTCTGTATTGCATTTAAAGAAATTCGGTACTCTTGGACTATACAACTTAAAACTGGTGATGGCAAATATGATGGGAATGAAAGGTAGATTACATCAAAAGTGGCAACTTGCATTTCTGTTGTATATATTATTGATGCTTGAGTCAGAAGGCGCATAAACATCTTTTTCATTTGAAACATAAAGCGGCATCAACACTGAAATTGTCCCATCCCAGTTTGCCTGATCCAAACCCAGCTGATAGTGAAGAACATTACCATGATCGGTGTAGGGTTGTTGTCCATCAAAGGGGGTTATCAACAAAACCTGGGCTCAGGACCACGTCCAGAACATGCTTACCAGAGCATGACAGATATGGTCCGTGTCCAGCTCTGTTTGCAAAGCACCAAAGTTTGACTCAGTCCTGGTTTTAAAGACACACACTTATAACCAAGAAGGCTGGAGATAACATCACCATGTCCCTCCACTCTGGAAAGGAAGCTAGCACAGACCGAAGCAAGCTGAAGAAAGACAAAGCAAACAGCAAGAGCACATAGCAAGTCATACCATATGTCCCGTAGTGCACTTTGGGTCTCGTTCCTATTCTGATTGTCAGCGCTCTGAACACATGGCTTTAAAAGTTGCATTTACTCCTCATTTGCCTAACACCCGGTTGCTCTCAGTGTTTTTCCTTTCACCTTTCCAAGTAGTTCTAAAGTGCTGGCGTTATGTACAAGGACACGTAAATACACAAACAAACCTTCAGTGCATTTTCTTCTGAGTGTGCTGAGCTGTGAACATACTGAACTGTGTACTTAGTCTCTGTATTCCACTCTTTGTCACTACTTTGCTGTCATTAATACAAGAAATTCAGCTTTATGCAAACATTCAGCGAAAGGCCAGGTTGTATAATAAAAAAATCCAGCCCTGCTCACCACAGGACACCTCGATCTTTGTTTACTAACAGTTGACAAGAGTTATTCAGCATAAAATACATGGTGCATAAAGATCAGAGGTTTCATTGGGTTGCGGTGAGTGTGCGAATGGCATGCATTTTATGGTACAAGTGTCTCTTTGCATATAAATGTATTGTTTTTCATGATGAGCCAGTCACTGGAACAAAAAACTACAGTGTCCGTGTGGGGGTGAGCAGAGCCCGATGCAAAGTGAGGAAGAAGTTATTTGCAACAAAATACCTTCTATTCAATAACCATCCAAGAAAAACAAAAAGTTTGATATAAATGAGAAACACGTCCGATACATGACATACATGTAACTGGACTTTTCTCTTTTGGCCACGTCAATCTTCCCAAGGGTTAGCCATGACATTCTCCGTTTATAGTGCAACATCGTTCATTTATCCTGCACAAGAAAAGGATCAAACCCCAAGCGGTCTTAAAGGATTATTGTTCTGTTTTGGGTTTTTTTGATGGCTTTGTTTTGCAGCGGGGCAGAAAAAGTGAATGAGCTGGTCAAAACCAGCGCGTGATAAGGAAATCGTGCGTAAAAAAAGAAAGATCCCCCCCCAAACAACAACAACAAAAGCCCGCCACACCTTAAATGTGACTAACTGATGAACAGGTTTGACTATACTTGACTATACTACGAATGAGATTTCATTTGAATTTCTTCCAAGGGTGTTCAACCAGATTCCTTAAGAGCTGTGCTGTAAATATGTAATACTGGGCTGGTGAGCCAACATGATGGAAAACATAAAGCAAGAATGTAAGGTGAATAAATGACTATGTCATTAATATCATTTATTAGAATAAAAGATTACTAGTTTTTAATTTTAAACTCAAAAATGGCCAAAAAAAGTGTTATCTGGCTATATTTAGTAGATCCTTGGTCCTGTTTGCTTCTGAACACAAAGTAATGGCACACATCCACACCCACACATTCACAGTCTAAGGCACTGCTCCACACCCCTTTAATACTACAGTGGAACACATCCATGTTTCCCACCCGTTATTATTTACTGCTTTATTTTAATTGCAGCTGATTTCATATTCCCCATGCATTTAGTATCTCTGCGAAAGTCCTCCTATTCAAAAGGATCAAAGATTTATTTTACACAAAAACACACAGAGAGAAATATTAAATACAAAGAATATCACACTCATTGCCCAGTTTACTAACTGAGTAGAAAGGTTTCTCTCTATCTTTTTTTTTCTGAAGCTATAACAGCTACTTTCTATATTTTCCAAAATAAAGGCTACACATATTCATTTCTCAAGTCTGTTACTCTGACTGGCATAACCAGAAGTGATCAGACATTTAAGTGGCTCAAATAGACAACTGAATATTGTTTGTTTTTTACTGTGAGAAAAACCTGTAAGAATAATAAACATATGATATGAAGGTACAATTTGCAAAATCTCTGTGTTAAAAAAACATCAAACAGAGGGAAAAAAAGCCTGCACTGCATGTGAACCTTGCTCAGTTTTGCACATAACGATGTTCACTACACTGGAAGACCTGTTCGCAGTTTGAAAAATAAATAAATTAAAAAAATAAAAAAAATCACTATATCAATAAAGCTTTAGGTTTAAACACCACCCAGCCTCACAGTCGGTATTAATTTTATATTATGGCATATTTTGAAGAATTTACTATACTCAAATCAAAGCTTGGACCCTCACCACAGCAGTGCTACAGATTACATTCATCCATCATCCCAGCCATCGTGTCACAGTCTTGTTTTATCTACGGCAGATCGCACTTATTCCCAATGAAAATAAACGCGCTATGAACCTTTTTGTTACTACCTAGTGCAATCGTAACCCTGTGTTTCTTGTGCAGGGCCATCTTAAAACTTCCCCTAACAGACGCTGAAACAAGAGCAGAAACAGAGACTACTCTGGCCCCGCTCATGAAGTGGCATAGCATATATTTTGAGAATAGTATTAGTACTAAGCCCGGCAGTTCTTAAATTAACCTATCACAACCCACTTTCCCCCAAATGTTGGTGGCTTCTCTTTTACTTAAATGAACGGTCTTTTCTGTGCTTTCGTTTGCTGATAGGGGGGAAAAAAAAGATACAGGGAAGATCTATGCATTGCACAATGAAGAAAGGCTGTGTGGCAAAAAACAGATATCAAAAGAAGAAATCAGGTATGACGAATGCAGGTTTAAAGTCCCTGTTGGACATTGCTTTGCTCCCCCCACCCCCCTTCCAAAACGTAGAAACAGTCATTGTCAGAGAGACTCGTTTCAGGTGTTGTCGTTACAGCCTCTCAATTAAAAAGGTCCACGTTACCTTCCTCAGCATCTCGGCTCTTTACCTTCTTTTGAGTGCAAATGCAATAAGCCAGCATAAATTGCTCGTATAAGTTTGATTCAATAATTTACCCACCCTCCCAAAGAAAAAAAGAACAAACAATAAAACAAACAAACAAACAGCCAGGTAGGAAGCAGGACTGCGTAGTATCGGTGCATATCACACCACCACCACAACATTACCGAGGTGGAACAGTGCTTCTCTCTAACATTCGTTCTTCTACTGCCCAGTGTAGTGCACTTCTTTACTACTCCATATATCCAGTCTCCTCTGCTCATGGGCACAGCACACTCTTTAGTTTAAAACAAACAAACAAAAAACAAATAAAACAACAACAACAAGAAATTCCAACTGTTACTGTGTAAATCCTGGGTCACAGCCGGATCAGTTCTAACATGCGTCAGACTGCGGTCAGGTCCAGCGGAAAACGGAGAGAGTCCTCTTTGAGCATTAATAGCGTATCTCAAGGCAACGGCAGCTGTTATCTTATTTCAATGCAGGTTTGTGGCTTTGTTGGCGTTTTTTTTTTCCGAGAATTCTTTGTATCCACTGTTTGTATGAATGCATGCAAGCTCGGATTTTTTCTTTCTCTCTCTCTCTCTTTTTTTTAGTGCATGTTCATGTTCAAGTCTCTCTCTGTATCTCCACAAGAGAATGATTTTTACCCAGAGTTAAAAAGCACTGTTTTTATAGACCATGTATTCTGAATACATTGGCGCAGATATTCAAGGCTATTATCCACGGGTTAGGAAATATGTCTTATCTGTATGCATGTGTGGTTGGGGAGGAGTGGTCTGGAGCAGACACAGGCATCACATTGACAACCTAATTCAACATGTCATGGGCAAATATGCGCGAATAAACAACTCCATGTGATAGAGTTGTTTTTAGACTGTGGACTATAGACATGAGTGCTTAAAAAAATTTGATCATCTAAATGATGGGCCTATTTAATAGGGAGAAAACCGTTTTGTTTAATGGAGCTACTACAGTACATGGCCTTAAATTGCAAAACTGTTGTTGTTATACATTCATACACGTTCAAAATACAGTAAACTAACATAAAGGTCAACATTGCTCTTTCCAGATCTGTTTTCCCCAAGGTTACGCGGGTTAGTTTCTGATGCAGCTTTCCAAGAAAATGGAATCATTTTACAAATCAGTGTACCACACCGGCAAAGCAGCTGTTGCTTTTGTATTGCACTTGAATGATGAATCATTACAGCCATTTGTTCTGCTACCAGGCCTTTGTAATAATGCTGCGGATGCCAAAACACTGAGTACATACTGAGTGTACCAAGAAACGGGCGGAGCAGAAAGAGTCGACTTTCTCAAAGTGCTAATGCCATGCCTGTGTCTACTTCTAAGAACAGTGTTCTGCTTCCACTAGCGGCAATTATGGGAGCACGCAAGCACACGTGTGCGCATGCATGTGCGACAGATTCCTGTATAGTAAGATCAGTGAGTGCGGCTTCTTGTGCTGAGCGAAATTCCCGTTGAGGAAGCACAGAGGAGGAAGAGTGGCGGACGAGCTGTTGTAAAAGAGCAAGCAAAGAGAAGAGGCTGTCTCTCACAATGTAAGAGACAGCCTAAAAAGGACATTCACTGTCCGTTCACCCTCGCACCGTGTCCAAAATTTTCTGCTTCCTGCTCAGCCGGCGTGTCGCCACAGTTGCCTGCCTCGGCTCCTGGGATCGCCCCCAGTGATCTGTTTACACCCTCTAACCTAGCTTCATCCTCGTCTTCCTCCTGTTCCTCTTGGACTGCTCCTTCGCCTTCATCTTCAGCTTCTGCTCCAGCCGCCCCAGACCCGGGGCTGCCTTCTGTCAGGGGTGGGTGAGTCCTGAGAGGGTCCTTACGATCAGGATACAACCTTTGCTCTAAGGTCTTGAAGTCGGCCTCAAAAGTGAGGGGTAACCCTGACTGAGGGGCACCCAGCGTCAGACCCAGACCTATAGCAGCGCTCATGCCCATTCCTGCACGGTACACATCCATGCCATCGGGCAGCATGGACTTAATCTTGGGCAACCATCGCTTGCGGACCCGCCTCGCGTTTGTGCACATGTCAGCAGCAATCACATTCATTTCACTCTCCTTGAAGTTAGGGTTGAAATTTTGACAGTAGACTGTAAAAAAAGAAAGAAAGAATACAGCAAAAGTCAGCGTGGCACAAACTGCCCCTCTTTGAAACTTCCATTACTTCTATCAAGTATGACCTACGTTTGACAGCGTTGAGGACCCTGCTGTCCAGGGGTTTCCTGCTGGGATCACTAGTAGAAGAGCGAATGCCCGTCCCACAGCTATTGGCTAAAGTGTTTCTGCAGGGATGCAAAGTCAACACCAGGGGGCAGAGTCAGCAACAGGCACATACAGTAGATAAACATGGGAGCACACATAACAAACCGCATTGCACAACATGGCCACAGATGGAGTGTGAAAGTTGGTTTGTGACAACAGCAGTAGTGTTGGAGTCATACACAGAAGTCAAGCCTAAGAGTCGAAATACTTAAACAGTTTGTTCATTATTTGCACATTTCTCTGCTCACCTGTCAAAGAATGTGGCTAAGAGGCGGCGGAGCAAGACTTTGTGTTTGATGCCGGCACATAGATGACAATTCATCAGCTGGCCTCGAGTCATGAACACTTGTGTACCTGTGTGGGAAACAAAGAAAAAAAAAATCTTGTGTGAAACACGCTGACATTACAGTCTTTTCCTTTATCTTTGAAGGCCCTCCTCTCTGCTTCTTTTACCTTTTACTCCACTTTGAGGCCTTTTTCTACATTTGAAGTCAAAGTTTAAGGAGATCTTTAATGGACTTAAACAAAATGGAGTCAGAAATTAGAGAAGAGGAACAGACGGTGACAAAAGCAGCACACTATTAAATGACTCCGTTTTGCTTTCTTTCCAGCGTCATCCCTTCCTCAGCAGTGCATGAGCCCTTACACCAATCGAGTTTTGGATTATTCACCACGACTTGCGCATTATTGTGCTCAGCTCTCTGTGAATTACGCTGGGAAGTACTCAGATGTCGTTCTTTTGTCTGGAGAGATTCGGCACCAAATCGATTTAAGGTTTTCTGTCACGTTCCTTTGTGGAAGCTGTATTGCCTACACGGTGAGTTGTACCTGTTCTCTTTGAAGTGCCAAGAGCGTGATGTGGGAGCCAGACCAAAGAGTTCAATTTTTGTCTCATTGTACCAAAAAATAAAAAATAAATAAAAGAACTTTTCCCTCATACTCTCAGAGCTCTGTAAGGACCATTTGGCAAACTCCCGGCAGGCAGTCATATGCTTTTTACTCCAGAGTGACTTCTGTCTAGCTACTCTTCCATAAAGACTGATGATATCTGCAGAGATGGTTGGATGGGTGCAGAGATGGTCCTTCTGTCTCAGCCTTAAATCTCTGCAAAGAAACTTGCAGCTTTATTTTAGCACTTTCAGTCTGACAGACAGAGACATGGCGCCGGCTTCCTGACCCTTGCCTGATCCGTGGATTAACATGGGTCAGACTATGTTTTCCCAAACAGCCTTTTAATTAGGAATATGAATTCAATTAAACGGCACTGAGTTGTAAACATAATTTAACTAAACAGTCTTAATCAAATTTTTTTAGCACTTATGCATAGTCAAGTTGCTGTGAATGAGCAGTAATTCTCTGGTAGGAGTCTCATATCGGACAAAGAGGGCTGATTACATGCAGTTGACCCTTACATTCACTATGAATGAAGGTCACAGGGCTGTGGGTAAATTCTCTAATAGATGGTGCTCTTTGCCCAAGTCTCATTAAAAAGATTTCGGTAACTTTAAACTTTGACAATGAGCTCTCCATCCTTCTGAATTTATGACTTTCAATTCATTTAGTTAAATTCATTTTTAAATCCAATTTCGATATCTTCCAAACTCACTTGGTGTGTAAGCGAATCCTTGGAAATTCTGCAGGGGTAAGATGTTAGCATCTAAATGTGCTGTGAGTGACTTGTGATTGCTTTGTGTGTGCCTACCCGCCACCAGCTCCAGCTTCTCTCCAGGGTCCCCCTCAGTATAGAGCTTAGGATGGCAGCGGTAGCCTATCTGGCTTATGAGGCTTGCAGGCAGCGCCACAAGGTCCCTGCGGATCAGCACGCAGTTGCGGTTCTCCAAGGACAAGGGCATCGACGCCATCTCCGGCTTGTCTTGGACTAAAAAAAAAAGAGATAAAGAACCGAAATGCAAACTTTATTTAAAATCTCACATCACAAAAACACATTGGTATCCGTCACTTTACTGGAATAAAAACACCCTAAACAAAGTTGTTTTCCACGCCTACCCCTGTGTATCCACACCAAAATAGAAGCTATGAAATTTAATTAGTAAAGCAGGTTGGAGTAATCTCATACAAGTTTGTTGTGTTTCATGAATGTTTTAGAGCATTGCAGATGCATCCTAGACAAGTCACTGTGCAGCATCAGCATCTTTAGTTTTGGAAGGGGGGGGGGACATATCCAGAGCTGAGTGTTGGGTTCTTATTCAAAAACTCTTTTTTTCACCCCAAAACCTCTAAGACAGCTTGTGAGTGTATACACATGCATACTCGTCCTGCATGCACACACACATGAAACAAAAAGAAATTAATCCAATAACTGCCACACGCATGCACATAGCGAAAGGTGTAGATTAATCAATTTGTATGTGCAGACACATCTGCGCGCGTGCACACACACACACACACACACACACACACACACACACACACACACACACACACACACACACACACACACACACACACACACACACACAGGAAAGATGTGCATGGTTCTCAAATATCCTACAATGTCACCCTGGGGTGCTCTGACTGATTGCAGATAGAATGGATTTCATAAATATGTGAAACCCTAGAATTTGACAAACCTCCCTTTGAGCTGCAGGATGTGAAGAATGAAGGAGAGCGAAATCTGTGTGTATGTGTACTCATATGTGAGTTTATCACTATCCATAGGTACCCCGTCGGTGTGTTTATGTGAATGCAAACCATTTACACCTGCATGTATTGAAAAAATCTACACCAGTGTAAAAAAATGTGGCAGAAAGCCATAATGAAAAGCGGTACGGTCCGGCTGCTGTAGCTGCGATAAGGAAGATGTTGTTGGTCACGAAGCACTTCAATCATAACTCCATAAAGCTATCTTTAAGCTGAAAGAACCCCCCCACACACACATGCACACACACAAACACACACACTGGAAGTACAACAACCTGCTTTTCAAAGATGCACAGGACACACGATGCATAAAAGATTAAATAAGGTAATTGGGATGAAATGAATGTGCATCAGGTTCTAGTTTTTTTGTTTTGTTTTTTTAATTTTTTGCACAACCTGTAACAGATAAGAGGTCTGGATAAACCCCACATTTAGTTTCTCCAATTCCTCTCAAGTTTTACTTTGAGATCGCTCTGTTATCAAATTAATTTCCTCCATATGAGCCAAGGGCAGCTGAGAAAGTAATGCACCAAATCAGACTTGACATGACTACAAATTTAAAGTTGCCATTGAGACTTTATCAGAGTCCTGGACTTTGATAGTATGTGCTTTAAGGATCGAAGTGCTGTAAAATCAGGGGGTGTGTTGTAAGCACAGCTCCTTATGGCATGCCACTGTTGTTTCATATACTAATAAGCATTGTTAAGGACTTTAGAAACATCTAACACAATACTCACTCCCGTAGGGATTGGCTGAACGTCCATAAAGATGACTGTAGGTCTCCTCTGTGATCCCATCGTAGGGCTCCTCCTCAAACTCCTCATCCTCGTTCTGGTAGGACGTGGGACTGTCGGTTGTGGGCAGACTGGAAGCTCCGGGGCTGGACCTGTCACCGCCGGCTGCTCCTCCTCCTCCAGCTCCACTGCCACTAGTCCCCTGGAGGCTGAAAGCAGGCATACCAGGGATAGGGGTCCCTCCAGCTGTTGTGTAGAACAGCGGCCCGGCCCTCCCCAGTCTACTTCCAAGCTCTGAAGGCGAAGTCTTACTTGGCGTTGAAGGTACAGTCAGGGGCAAGGGCTCACCTCCTTCAATTTTAATCTTACGCTGCGGTATGAGCAGAGTCGAAGACCATCCCGGGGTCCCTAGAAGGGCAGCCACTGCCAGGCCGTTGCCATTATTACAAGGACTCTGTGGCTCAGATACCGTTTCTTCTAAGGACCCCATTGTCTGCGAGTCACAGTGAGGTGAGTTTGCCTTAAACATTAGGTCCATGCCTTTTTCAACTATATGCTGAATTTGGAGGTAGCCAGCTGTGTACATGACCACCAGCTGTTCACTAGCTGCCATTGTTAGCTTCCCTGTGTAGCAGAAAGTGAGGATCTGCTCAAAGCAAGCAGGTGTGACTGAGGAAGGCAACTCAAACTGGGTCTTGGTGGAGCTGCTGAAGAGGTCACGAAAGTAGAGGCTGCTGGCGGCCAAAACAGCCCGGTGGGCTTTGAAAGCCTGGCCTGGTTGAGGGAAAAAGAAGTTGAGAACATTGACGAAGACAGTTAGCACTTTGTACAAGTTAATCTGTGATTAACAGAGCAACATTAACATTTTTCTGCCAACTGACCTTTAACCAGTATGGATACATCACAGTAGTGTCCCAGCAAGCGCTGCTCATTAAGGGAACCCAGAACCGTAGCTCCAAAGTTTGGGATCTCCACATGGAGCAGCTGGGACATGATGGCCACAGAGTGGAAGGAAGATGGGGCTTCAGATATTCACTGCAGACTCTGCCGCCGAGAGAGGCATCTGTAATAACAAAGCGGAAGGAATCCAAAAAAAAAGGTATGGTAAATGCGTTGGAGAGGAGAAAGGCACTGACAAATGAAGGAGCAAAAAGCAAACGCGTGAAAGATGAAAAGACATGCCAGAGGGAGGCAGAGGGGCGAGAAGAGAGAGATAGATCCTCTCAGGTTGTTTCTCTCTCTTAGAAAAAGCAAAGAGTAAGAATGAAAATAGAGTTGCGATGAAGTGAGAACACGCATACAGTTGAGGGAGAAGTGAGAGGTGTGCGAAAGAAAGATGGATATGCAGAGATAGTGGGTGAGAGAGTCGAGGCAGGAGAGAGAAAGGAGGAGTCACTCCACAGAAAAAAAGAAAAAAAAACACGAACACAATGCTGCGCCTACTGTGCATAGAAGGTTGTGAAATACCTTTAGGCTATGTTGTTTTACATTACTTAAATTCCAAGAACCTTGCACTCCTTCCATGTATTGCTCTTAATGCATCCAGAACAATTTACCAACAGCATGGACTTTGACAGCCTGTACGCCTTAACTTTTCTCAGAAATAAACCCCACACTGAATGCAACCTGTTTTTCATGTCATAGATTTTCCTGGATTTCGCTGACACCGTGGCAGTTGTTCTCTTTCTCAGATCTAGCTAGACAACAATCCAAAGAAAGACAACTTTAAAAAACAAAACAAATAAAAAGTCCTTTTCAGTAACACTCTCCAGATATATTTGCACCTTCATTCCAGCCCTGAACCTTTTAGAATTGCCTTTGTCTTCCCACCAACCCACACATACGTACATATACGCACTAGTTTCATTATTGAGCAATGCTGCAGAACAGTTTCCAGGAATACAAACTGAAAAAGATGTCACCGCCTCTCTCTCTCTCTCTCTCTCTCTCTCTCTCTCTCTCTCACACACACACACACACTCTCCCACTTCATGCACTCCATACAGAAAGGCATGCACTGTGGCTTACTTACATAAAAGCCTGCATGCATGAAGACACACACGCACATGCAGTAAAAGCTGCACAGGGAAATTACTGTGTACTCTGGCACGCAAGCACTCACCTGGAGAAACAAGAACATGCCTTTTCCTCTGCTAACAGTCTCTCACACATGCACAAATGCACAAAAAGAGTGCTCACTCTGTTATCCCAGACAGTTCTGACCTGAGTAAGCCAGTCTTCTGGTTAAAACACACCATGGAGCCTTGACACACACACACACACACACACACACAAAACACGCCAGCAGCAGTCAGGACCAGGACAGAAGAGGAGCAGTTAAGAGACGGAGGGAGAGCACTCAGATGTACTCCGTCTGGTCGACTCTTTCTCTCACTTAAAGTGTCATTCCTAGTGACTCAAAGATGATTCTCTCTGCTGACTGACTTTTCTCTGTCTGTTTTCTCTCGGCCTATCTACAATCTCTATACCCTCCAAAGCCCTATTCTCCCTGCTAACTGTCTGCTCTAGCACTGTCTCAAAGCCTCCCTCTGCCTCGTCATTATCTCGCTCTCTCTCTGTGTTTCTCTCCCCCTCTCCCTGTTCTCCAAGGGTTGAATTCAACAAGTGCCGCTGTAGATAGGGGGAGTGTGTGAGTGAGAGAGAGAGAGAGGGGGGGAGTGAGAAAGACAATGGGGGGGAGAGAAAGAGAGGCCAGAGCAGAGCAGAACCGAGCAGAGCAGAGCGAATCAATGATGAAAGGAGTGGGAGGCTCAGTGTGTGCGCAAGCGCACGCCCGTGCATGTGTCTGCGCGCGTGTGTCTGATCAATGCAGTATCTATACGTCGCAGGGAGTGGGAGGGAGAGAAAAACACAGGCTACAGTTACAGACGGAGACAGAGACTGGGCAGAGCTAAAGAGAATCAAGGGAGGGAGGGCGGGAAGGGAGAGTTGAGACAGAGAGAAAGTCATTTGAGGACAGTACGAGTAGAGAAAGACAATTAGGTTGAAGCAACTTCTGCTACTTGGACACAGACATGTATATACAGTCTAACAGAATGAGGGGGAGAATGACTAAGACGAAAAAAAAAGAGAAATGAGAAGCACATACAGGGGTCACATCCACCATTAATTAAGGAGACATCGAATAGCGAAACTTGTGAGCGCCCAGTTTGACGCAAGTCTGGAAAGAATGCGTCACATCTCAGTAAAGCAGAGCTTTATTAAACCCGAACTATAGCGTGCACAATGCAGTGAACCTTAAATCCTTCTAAATGTAGAACTGAAAAGATTGATCGAAAAACAATCACCAGTGTCAGGGTATTTCCCATTATTCGTACCATCTTTGTAAGACAATAGTTTAAAAAAAAAAGGAAAAGAAAAGAGAGGCTTTACTTTTGAGCAAGTGTTGTGTATTTTCTCTGAATCATGCAAGGACATCTCTGCCAAACACCTACACATAAACAGAGAGAAGTGCTGTCTTCACGCAAGACTATTTTGTATTTCTACATGAATTGATGAATTAAATGATTAATTTACGCCTCCGCTTCGGTGGCTCGGCTTGTTCAGGTGACATTTCTCTGCTTTCTCTTGGGTACTTTTTTTGGCCAGCCCATAGAACGCTTCCCTAAATGTTACTTGATCTGTATGAAGGAGGACAGGAGCCAGATGTCACTGCCTGCGACAGGACAACCGCTAAAAGAAGGACAACAGCTACCAGAGAGGATAAGTTCCAGAAAGATGTGTGTGGGAGGGTATAAATGCATAACGGATGAGTAGGAAAATGGGTTGTTTTTTTTTTACAGTATGTGTGTGCATATAAACACACGCACACGAACGAATGCTGTGTAATTTTTACATGTCAGAGTAAAAAATTATAAAAACAACAAATAACACTAAGGAGACGGCTTTCTCGGAGTGCCGTGCTGTGTTATAGGTGACGAGACATGAAGACATCCTTTCAGCGCATGTCGCTTATCTTAAAGAAAAAAACAAAACAAAAAAAAATCAAGCTGATGCTGAGGTTTTCTGAAAGTGAGCACGTCTCTCTCCCCCCCTACAAAAACTATCAAGGCACATTGTGCTCAATTCTTTGCCAAAGAAACCTCAAGTGGAGAAAGTTGCGCTAAACTGAGCAAACTTTTACTCTTCAGTTGCAGCGGAAATATGAAAGGGAGGATATCACAAAGCGTTGAATGCAGTGAGTCAGACTTTGGTTTACAGAGCTTTGGCCCAGCAGTGCGATATCTGCACGGCACATATAGGCACACATGAGTGAGCACACACAAAAAAAAGCACAGTGAAACGCAGGAGAAACAAATCTGCAAACACTCTCCTGCTTTCTTACACACACACACACACACACACACACACACACACACACACACACACACACACACACACACACACACACAGGTAATCTCCCTGTGCACACTCAGCAATACACATTCTGTTTGTTTGTCTGTCTGTCCCTCTGTGAACCTGCTAGACTGCTTGTCCACCGGCCCATCCATCCACCGGTTATTGTAACTACTGTGTCCTTACATCGCCTCTTGCGTCCCCCCCGCATCCCCACCGCCCTTCTTTCTCTTCTCTATCCTTCCCGCCCTGCATACCACGTACCCACTGTCTCTCTGCCAATTAATGCACACAGGGCTGCATTGCAGTGAGGTTGGCGCGTGCCACGGCAGCAAGCACAGTACAGAGTCTACAGACATGCATGTACGTGCCAGCCAGGCAGAGCGGGATGGAGAGGAGGGGGTGAGAGTGAGGGAAAAGAGGAAGAGGGAGGGCGGGTAAGTGGGTGGGTGAGTATGGGGAGGGGGGCGAGAGAGTGAGCGGAGAATATGTTGAGTCAGGCAGACAGGACGGTGGAGTGCCACACTGCACATATACACAGCCGCATGTCTGTGAAAATGTATGCACGAATGAATATGAAACAAAAGGCACGGCACACATACATGTGCATCATGACAGCCCAAAAGTATGCAGAAATGCAAATGCGCACACGCACACACACGCACTCGCACACAAACATGCATGCAAATTCCAACCTCCTTATGGCTGCTTTATATATAGACTTTGCACATCACTGATGAAAAAAATATAAGGCACCGACTCCCTCAACTTGTTTGCCAAACGAGTCACTATGTGTGTGTTTCTCCGTACATTGTGTCCTCATTTGCTACCGTATGTTTGCATTTCCATGTCAAAGTTTCCTGCATACCAAGGCGTGTTTTTATAGTCATCATAATATATCCGACTGTGACTTTTGGCACTTCATATCAGGCGCATGTGTGTGTCTGTGTGTGTGTGCGTGTGAGGCACAGTTTGTGAGTTTAGATATGAGATTCGAATGCTGTTCTGATGGCGCTTGTCTGTTTTTTGTTGGAATGTGTTACATCCATTTTAATCAAGAATTCATACCTACGCACAGTGTTATTAACTGTAGCAGCAGGTCCAGGCATATTTGAATAATATGAAGAAATGAGACGATTTGCCAGATGGCAAACAAACACACACACACGCCGATTTTAACTACTACTTATACTAGAGCTCTCTACCAAATGACAATGCTGTAAGATTCAAACCTTAAACCATCAAAGTCACAAACAACCCTGAATGCACTAACCCTTTATTACTTTGTGGAACAGTTTAAGCTTAAAGTGAAGTTGGTTCACATGATGCAAGTCACAAAAATCCTCACTTAAATACGTTAGCCGGCATCATCGTCAAGGCACAGAGAAGTAATACCATTGCTAAACATGTTTTTGGAAGTAAAGAAATTCATTAAAAAAAAAAAAAAAAAAGGAAACTCAAATCAAAAATTTGAAACGAGCCGAGGAGGAGCACATCCGTCCTCCATTGCTTATGTTGCCACTATACAATCTCAATATGAACAGTCCCCTCGTTATAAATATTCAGATCCTGCAGTTGTTCTCATGTTTAAAGTGTACCAGACAACAGATTCTATCCACGTTGAGACAGCAACGCTCCCTGGCAA